TTTTATTTATAATATTAGGAATATTGGACTCACACTAGAAGTGCTAAAACTTGCCTAAAAGTGATTTCCGTTCAGTTTTCATTTTTCACACTCCAGTGAGTTTTCTAGGCTCTCGTAAATCGGACAGTTGAGACAATTCTGTAATTATTGAAATCGACATAAGGAGTCTACAGACAATAGATACTTTTAAGAAATCTAAAAAATCAATAAATCAAGCTGGAGCAAGCACAAAAAAACTACCTACGCTATCAGATATAGCGAATAGTGCCAGTTAATTGAGCGCCTTACGACGTTTCTGTGTATGCCTCCTTCAGAATCGAAATTGATAATCATTCAATTTGCCTACGGGTCCGTCACTTGGTTATTGGAATAACCTAAATAGCGTATTTTGTCTCTTTTTTTTTGGGACTAAAAACAAATGTTACCGTACAAAACTGATCTGACTTATCTCTCTCTCTCTCTTAGTATTTCCTTTAACAAGATAGTATTTATTTGTATTTATAAAAATACAATTGTATTGTTTGAGCGTATGAATTGAAAATTCCTATGATTTTTTTTAAAATAAAAATCATTTTTTTGCAACCGTCTTCATTGAAATCACGCGATACGTTCGGAAATATGTGTTGTTTTTCAGAACTAAGCATGTGTTATGTTTAAGAGTTGCTGCCCCGTGTATCTGCCGTGGTACCATCAGACAGCCTCGATAAAAAATTGAATGCTCGGTCATATGACCCGCATGGTTCTTCCACGACCATTGCTTCACAGTCTGTTGGCGCGTTAAATAACATATGCTTCTGCTACATACACGTTACTGTTCCTGTTTGATATATAGCTGTATCGGAAAGTACTCTTGAGAACATATTGGGCAACACAGGAAAAAGTCATTGGACAATACGCGCAAATGGTAACGAGAGTTGGTTCTGAGTTGGGGGGCTTAATCTCAGTATCTCTATCTAATCAGTGTCTCGTAAAGCTTTGATGCTGAACTCTGTCAGAGTAGAAATATGTGTCAGGTCAAAGAATGGTAACAGCAAACTGAGGTATTGCTATATTTTATATTCGGCAGTTAACGCGGCACCGTGATATTGCGCAGGAATATTAGGAAACAATGTGCAGAAATACTAAACATAATAAAACCGTTAGTACTATGACAACAGAATTAATAAGGAATTTATTTTTTCTAGACACAGCTCAGAGAAGATGGCCTATTCAAATCATACGAATGGAAATACAAACAAACTATATGACAAAATAAGTTATACGAACTTTGCATAGCACATTGATTTTGAGGTCAGGCAAGCTAAACCTTGGTCTTATTCAAAATTTATATGGCGGGTTATAAACCCCAGCCACACTAAACCTCTTGTGGCAATAAGCTGTCTTTTAATTTTTTTTTTTATCTGTTCGCTGAAGTTGTGTGTATTCGGTGGTAATACCACCAAATGCAACCATCGGAAAAGAATGCTTAATTAACGAAAAGAAATACTTTGTTTTCAATAATACTTTTATTCAGATATAATTTCCAAAGGTGTTTTTACACCGAATACCCCCTTTCTTAAAAACACTCATCGGTTGGGCGAGGCTCCGATGGTGAACAATCCCACTCTTGCTGGAGGAATTCGTGGTTATAGGAATTGAAATATACCAGTTGAGCTAGTTGAGTAGAATTCTCAGATTGAGCAAACAACCATTCAAAACATGAAATACATATCGTAGAAAATTAAGTTATTTTTAAATCGGTATTGCTCTTGAAAAATTTCTCCGCAGCTATATATAGTCAGAGCTAGATATATAGAGCAACGAATGTATATGGTTAGAATAATCATCGTTAAATTATAAAATTAATATTTGAATTGGAAAAGAATTTATATAAAATATGTGACTCTTCCTCTTACCGCAGATACCTAAATTATTACCATTCTGTTCAATGCGCCGCTGATAACGACAGGCTATTAGTCTCAAATTCTAACAGATATTTCACTCGCGCATTCTTACTCTATTGCAGTTTTTAAGTTTTCTTGTGCCGTCGACTTTCTGGCTTAGACTTCATCTATAGGGCAAAAAAATGTCCCTTAGCGTTAGGTCTAGAGAATGGGACCTATTCGACAGAGCCTGTTAGTCGAAATCATCTTCTTAGAAGGTTTTCATTAAAATGTGCTCTTCATTACGTTTACAGTGTACCGGTATACCTTCTGTTGAAAATAAGATTCGCTATTTTCACCAAACTCCTCCCAAACTCATAATAAAATAGGGTCTTTGAGTAAATTCAAGTAATTGGCAGCAGTCACTGTACTTCTAAACGAAAAATTCATTCAATTAATCCTTCCTACGAGACGCTGCATCGCACTGTATTTCCTCTTAAATTTACATGTCATTCCTGCGCAGCGTATAGATCTATAATTGTTCAATAAATGCAGTTACGTTGCTTAATTGTGCTTCCTAATTTGAATGGAACTCCATCGCTCTAATGAACCTTTCTCAAAAAGTATGCACCCTGTTTATATTTTTTTGAGTACCACTCGCAAAATTGTTTTTATCAATTTTGATCATCTTTATTAATAGCATATACTAACGCTAGAATGTAACGTGTCTACCTCCAGTGCCTTAAAATGCAATGGACACTTTATTCGCTGATACCAAGATCACGACTTGGTTTTCTTACAGATTTTTGAGATGTTTTGTTCACTTTTTCGCACCTTTTAGTCTTCAGGAATATTCTCAGTGAACATGCTAAAGGCTTCCATACAACTTATCTTTTATTCAGTTACTTGTAAGTCGCGACTTGCAAATAATTCCTTGCAAGCGGAGTTGCCTGAAACGTCCTGCGATATAGTTTTGGTACTTCTGCTACTTTTTCACATTTCCAATACCATTTAAAGATAAATTTCCTTTTTAAAAGTTTTTTTGCGTTATTTATTGTTTTCAATTAATAATATAACTTCCTAATTGTCCTTTCTTTTCAAGCCGTAATTAATTGGAGATATATACAAAAAGGATTCGGAAAACTCTGTTTCGTGCCGTAATATGCAATACAATGTTAGACGAAGCACCTTACATCCTTCCCCATCAGTTTTACAAATGAAAATCCTGCATGTTTTCTAAGCAATCAAGTTTCGGGCATCAGACCACATTTTATTAATCGGGTTATAATAGAAGCCCGGCACAGTTGTTGGTAGCGGGCAACAAAAACGTATCTAAAAACGCGCGACTTCAGTTCAGTATTTCCTTGAATGAGATCACTTTTTATTTTGATGCATTGTAAAGGCATGATATTTTTGCTTCATAACTAGTGAAGAAGGCCTTGCGGTCCGGCAGCGACTTTGTTGAGGGAGTCTAGTTTTACAGGACGGCGGCAGTGGTTTCATCAGTACGTGTCCGTCCATCAGGAGCTATGTAGATGTATAATAATTGTGTGCATAACTTCCAGGTGCGCGTCACGTCGTGCTCAAGCAGTCCGAAACAAATCAGATGATGAGGAGTCACCGTTATATTACTACTAATATTAAAATACTAATATTCAAATTGAATTGTCAAGTTAACCTTCTGTATCATGTAGGGCGTTACTTTACCACAAAGATTAATTAAACGGAAAAGTTTACTTACTGTTCAAATATGATAAAAATATGGTGTTCACCGAAGGCACTATTCGGGACGGCAAAAATATCATACAGTGTCAACGCACAATTTGCGATCAATTACCGAGTAGATATGATACCAAACAAAATCGACCTATCTAAGACAAATATTGGCATACCCTAAAAACCGAAAAAGAAGATGGTTATTTAAGGGCAATTACTAGTCAATGAGCACAAAACTCCAAAAACATCAATGCATTTAAATTGCATAGTTATCTATGCATACTAAATAAATGTTTTGTTTGTTTCTAGGAATCTTCGGACGTTCCAGTAAAGTAGTTCGAAGAGGCATGAAATCAAAGCCCCATGAGTTTTTTTAGACAGAAAACCGAATCAAAATATATGACATAGCGGACGTGTGTGGCATTTCAACGCCAGCTATGTTGTTTAGTCAAATCGGATCGAAAAAATGTTTCAAGCAAATGTTCGGAAGCATTCAGGAGAAATCCGGAGATTCGACTGGTCTTTATATGCATATACGTAGTTATTAACAGAACAGAAGTCCACTACTACACTCTTTACTCCAAATAATATTTAACACTTTTTTTAATTATTCAATTAATAATAGAAATTACAAAATATTACTAAAGTTGGTTTGGAAAGGTAAATTACAACGAATATACTAACGTAAATGAATACGCTCTTAACCAATCAATAAATATTTCGTCGGCAAAGAGGGTGATAGCAACTTTTTTAAAAGTAGCGTAGAGGATATCTAAAACATAATGAATGTTATGCAAGCAGGCTAGACCATCAGAAGGATATCACTGGGAAAAATGATATAAATGATATAAATAGCATCAGTTGGGCAGGAAACGGCGCAACAGTGCTTGGTCAAAACCATCTTCAATCTCGCGTGTCGTCTTTTGAAATGGCTGAAATCAGTTTAGAAAACTTCAGACTGCTTGACTGTCTACTGTGTTCGCTAGGTATATGTTCCATGTTTGCCAGGCGTATAATACAAACTAAAGACAAGCGTCAGAAAGAAATCGGAACATGTGAGCATACTGGTAGAGGAGAAGAAGGTTCTTTGAATGTAATATTTTAACAATGGTACAAAGACGATTTCTTCCATAAAAAATAATTACCAAAAAATTCCTTCCGAGTATTCATAGACATGTTAGGACGAAGCAAATGATATTATGACTAAAGATAGGATAACAGCCTTGGAGAGCCGTAGAAAAGGGAGTGTTGAGCTAAAAATGTGCGATACTGATAGTAAAGAGTACCTACTAGCCCCAAATAAAATACGCTTTCTTTTCATTCTAATTCAGCAATGAACGATCTAGTATGACTGCGTCACTGTCTTGTGCTTTATTATGCTATGTCAGGTTAAAATGAAACAGATCACGATATATTTCTAGACAAAAACAACATTATTTTCGTCTAGGAATCCGATGACCCCACAGGCGAAAGGACCGCTATGCGTGTAGCGCACCTTGACAAGTTTCGTGTAGAAAAATGACTTTATAATTCAATCTATTATATATAACGGAAGTCCAAGGCTGATAAATGTTGCATTGGTTTATAGCAGATGTAAGCTAAAAACTGTTTTGACGGTTTTACTTGGCTCCAACGTGCACAAAATTCGTGAGGCATTTAGGGCAGAAACAGCTTTGAAAAAATAGTAAATTCGACTTCCCGTTATAAAACCGATGTAGCACGATTTATACCTACATTAATCGATGTTTTAGGACCATCCACCGAGCCTGAGTATTTATATCTGAATAACTACAAACCTTTAACAAAACTGGGCTTACGAAAGTAGTTCCACCTAGTGATAGAAACATATTCATTTGCCTTTTTCATGCATTCCTACTGCGACAACTGACCTCTGCTGATTCGGTAGAGATTCAGTTATGCTATTTGAAATTTCTGTTTCCAAACCGTTTCGATTTGCAAAGTATTTGATTTCAATTGAAAAATGTCCAACTCGGCTTGAAAGTTATCCGAGTTACCGAAACGTGTTCGATCTAAAGTACATGTTAGCTAGTCTCCGTATAACGTGACGATATGTTTTATCTGCTTATACTTTTGATGCGTATAACATTTAGAACTGAAAATCAAGGAGAAGCGAATAGCGTAGTTATCACTTTTAACGTAATAATTTTATTATCCTCAACAAACCCGTTTAATAAATCCTAATTATTCAAATATACAGTACGTTTGCATACTCGGAACTATCCCACATAGTTCGACATCCCTATAGCTATAAAGATTTTCAATCGTTTTCCTTTCATCAACGCAGATACTCGTAGACAACACTCTAAAAAAGAATGTTCTAGATACTTCTTTGATCATTCAATGTGGAAGCGATGCTATAACCTTCGTTGTCGTTCGTATCTCTACTGTTTTCATATGTGAAAAGTTAGCTTGATCAGCTGGTGTACAAAAAAAACGCTGTAACATGTGACACTTCGACGAACCAATCGAAGTGATTTTAGTCATCTTACACCCAAACGCGTTTCCGTATATCGTTTGCATAACCGAGATAAAAACAACCCTCAATTTGCTTAACCTACCAAATTAACTAATTGACTTATTCTAATTTTTTTCTGCCAATTTTCCCTGCCTGCATCTTCTGTCTTTTTAACTCGTTTTGTTGTAGCACTTTGCAGATGTGCCTCTTTACTTGGCGTTGCTTAACAAGTCTCTTCAGTTCTTGCGCTTCCATGGCTCGCTTGTGCTGACGGACCCGTTCCTCCATTTCGCGTCGCATTTTCAGTTGCTTCTCCGAGTGAACAGTCCTCATCATTGTCATCATCTTCGAGACGCGCTGCTGTTGCTCATCAGGTACGATAGCCACGCGATGGAGGGCGTTTCCGCCTTCAATAATCGTTTCTTGTTTAGGCTTATCCTTGTATGGCAGTGCGGCCTGTAGACTCTTTGGTAATCGAAGCGGTTTCTCGAAGAACTCGCGTCGTTCCACACCCTGGGAACATTCCATGAAGGCAGAAACAGCAGGGGGATATATTATCTAATTTTTTTAATGGAGATCGTAATATTTCGACTAAATGTACGGCTATCTCGTCCGGTGGTTGTTTATAGAATTGTGTAGTTACTAAAGACTACACAAAAGATTTATTCAAGCCAGTCAAAATTCTTCATAAACAGTCGCTTGTAATTAAAACTGATACTTTAATTTTTCTTAAAGTAGCTATTTACCAGTGCCAAAAGAACAAACAAAGTGTAACTGTGGTAACTATTACTTATTAGAAATAATCCGAGCTGCGAAAATTCATATGAAGTACATACTATAGTTAACTTTAGCAAGACACAAGAACTACGCGCGGCAAACAGAATTTCTTACCGTATACAGCGAATCCTGATTAACAGGTGCTCTAAGTCCTTTCTCGGCGCGAAGTTCTCCCACCGTTTTCATACCTTTCCATTTATCTTTTTCACTGGACGGCAGCAGAAGTGTATTGACAGTTATGAAGAACTTAGGTACGGGCACTGTGTACCAAGTCCGCAGAAAGACGATGTCGGCCTTAAGCAGCCTGTCCTCGAACGCTGCGCGAAAGGCGCCTGGTGGTGCCTTAATAGGCTTCTTAATCTGACCACGTATGCCGGCGACCGTGCGTAAAGCAGCGCCTTCGAATTTGGTCACTTCAATAATACTGTTAAACATCCCTTCAATAAAAGCGGTTTTGTTTTTCACCTGTAATTTTTGTTATATTTGTTTTTGTAATTACCGAGCGAGGTTGTATACTGAGTAATTGTCAGAAGCAAACAGACTAAGTAACGGTCAGGTTTAAGAAAAAAGATATATTACGTAACGAACATGATTAGCTAAAAAGCGCAAAGATAAACTAAATTTAGACTAATTCACGAAATATTAAATATAAGATGCCTTATGCGAAATTTGCTTACACCCAGTTATGACTTTTAAATACAAAATAATGATATTATGATTACTATAAATTTATATACTTTTGGAAGCTATTTATGCATTAATTAATAGCCGATAGGCTGTTACAATCCGGCGGACTTTGAAATTGAATAATATTTAAACTACGCACCGTCAGCAGAACAAATTTAACTGGTAAATACTCCAGATTTCTAGAAACTTATTAGTAAAAACCGATTCATGCTATTCCAGGAAGAATGAGTTTAGAAACCAAAACATCATTTAGTCTAATTTATTAATGCCCGAAGACCAAGTTTGGTTCCTTGAAGGCCACACCACTGCGGAAATTTGTCGGAGATTGGTGAAGACATTACGAAAGAAGGCCTTAACTGAAAGTACACTATCCTGAATGATGCAAACACTTTGAGACTGGAGAGAGCGTTGAAGCCCAGCGAAAAGGTGACTGAATCAAGGGACCCGAAAGGTAAGAAAACTTGCCACAATCGAAAAAACTTTGCACAAAAGCAAAGTCTATGGTTTAGGAACCTTATCAGCTAAAACTGGCATTTTACATGCAACGTTTTATAGATGTATGATCCAAATACTGAAAATTCAGGAGCTGAGTAGAAAGTGGGTCCCCCATAAGTTAACTCTTAATCAATTGAAAATGCGTGTGATGTGTTCCCCGTGCAATCTGCGGAGCTTAAGTAAACGAAAAGCCTGCCTTGAGGCGAGACGGTTCAATCTCTATGGCCAGCTAAGGACGAGCAAGGTGAGGCAGTAGCCTTGTCTCCAAAAGAAATCGAGTCCTATGGCAGTTTCGAATAGGTTCGGACAAAAGGTGATAGTAGCACTTGCAGTGGACATCAGTGGCATCTGCATTTATGAGACACTTGTCGAAAATGGGTAATAATGAATGCAAAGACAGCGAGTAAAGAAACAATGAACATATTTTGCTCGAGTTCCTCAACACATTTATGCGCCATTGGAACCGCGATCGAATGTATGCAGTCTAGTTACTTTAGACAACGCCCTCAGTTACTTTTTGGATTAAGTAAAGGAATATCCAACGTTAACTTCGATTCTTTTATTTTCCCGGTCTAAGTCTATGTGACCATGGGACATTCCATTCTTTAAAAATGCCAATTGGTAGACAAGCAGATCCTGCTAACTTACTACAAAAAGTTCACAGACAGAGAAATTACCTATGGGAACGCGAATAATAAATGTATAGCTATCCGGAAACCGCCAAAGCGCTTGGATAAACGCACAAAAAATAAAGGCGGGTACCTCTAATTCACATGAAAAAAATCTTCATTCTGTCCGAACTAGTTTAAAAGCATTCAAATTTCAAAGTCCGTCAGATTCGCCTGTAATAGCCTAAAAATGAATTATTAACTATTATTGAAGCTAAACATGTTAATGGATTATAGCAGTCAAGCAGAGTATCATTTCCCGTATTCGTTTACCTTGATTGGAGTACCGGTTAATTTCAGCTTCTTTACAATCTGCGTCGTTTTATCAATTTCGAGAACCACACCAGTTGCACAGACCCGAAAATCAGACTTAAACAATAGCAACACAACGTTTCCATGTTTTTATTTGAAATTGCGAGTTAGACCTTAATTTGGAAGTTTTATTTCATTAGTCACTTACAGTCTTTGTCTTACTTAGAAATGATTATATCTAATAAAATAATTTTAAGAGAATTGCTTCTCAGATTCATCGAACGAGTCAGCATGTAACGCGGTTGTCTCAGATCGATGAAAACTGAAAACACTTTCCCATACACGCACATACAGCATTTTTGCTGTTTACCGATCGTTTAGGAATATTTGTCGGAACTGATTCAGAAGTTTCTCTCTAAGTTACGAGAAAAATATACGGCAAATACGATCTGATTTCATTAAGCATTTGATTCGTTTTTGTATAAATTTCAGTCTTACTTTGTCCTGCACTGAATTCTGAATAGCAATGAAACCGGAGTTCTGAGGAGTAATCGGGCCCCAGAAGGCAGCGTAACAGTGCAGATGCATCGGAGTGTACTTCAGAAACCTTTGCCGCATATTGTGATCCTGAGTAAAGAACACTGGCGTCGTTTGGAACCGTCGCCATCCCAAAGACATCACAAGCGGATCGGCACTCTTCAGGATCTTCTTGAACCAACGGTGCTTTTTGACACGCACCTGAAATCATTCCATTATAATCACTTATCTTATAATAATTATATATAAATCAATTTTTTAAGCAATACGCTATTCGTTATGTAAGTAATAAACAGGTACCTTTAAACTTTGTTTGTTCAATTAACGGAGCCCAACTGTTCGAATCGAATTGTGGTTGCTGCTAGGAAAGCAAACACTACGAAAATTCTTCGAGTTGGTAACTACCGATGTTGCAATGCTCTTGCGTCGTTTAAAAGTACAGATATTCGCTATTGCGTCAAGGCTGACATTTGTACTTTTAAATGCCACCACTACAAACAAAAGTGATTTACCTGCAGATACCCGACTCTGTTCTCGGCAGTATTGAGTCCTCCAAGAACGATTGGATAAGATGGGTCGAAATTCTGCACGAGTTCGCACGGTAATCCTCTAAGCTCCACCCGTACATATAAGCCTGCTCGAAAACCCTCGAACAAAACCCGACGAGAGTCATCCAGGTCCGCAAACTCTGCCTTGTTGAGCTGAAGTACAGCCGTGAATAAATATCACTGTTTTAGAGACACTGTTACTACGATGAGGCAAACAGTTTTTATGACAAACTCACTACAAATTTTCCCACTAGCTTTGAGACTATAATTTTTTTAAGTGTCGTTTTGTTGCTATATAGGCTTTCTTAACAATAAGCAACATCTAATGATTCAAGTCCACAAGGACACATATTAACCGATACAGTTACTATACGTAATCGATTTCTTAACAAAACTGGTTTTTTAAGGTTTAATTTGCGCAGTTAAGGTATAATTGCACATACAGTGGAGATATTATTTGATGATATCCAAAATGTATTGTTGCTGATGTTTACATGTTTGTCATTGAGTTATTTACTTCGACATGTTTGTCAATGTGGCCGAACTCTGAAGAAACGTCTTACCTGCGCCTGCTGATTCATTTCTTCTTTGATTTCGTCATACAATGTCTTGTCATCTCCTTTATCGTCGTATTCTTGATCAAACATCTCTTTTAGACGCTTCTTTTTTTCAAGCCTACACGAAAATCGACATGTGCAAACACGGTGTTGTTAGGCTATACATCCGTAATGATCTTCATAAATCTTGGGTACATCATGTCCCTCAGTATATGCTAATGCACGGCTAATTATACAGTTTAACCAGGAATTTTGGGTCCGGAAACGTGTCAGCAATACGGCAGACAGATAACAACATCTAAAGTATCCAAAAACGTTCCTACCCTAAGATTGGTGTTCGATTTCAACATATCGAAAGTGTATTTTACATTATCCCTACTATGCAAACATCGCAGAAATCAATTAATCTCCTTTTAAACAAACCTCTTTGCCTCAATCTGTTTCAATCGCTCCTCGTGTGTAGTAGCCTTTTTTTGGGGATGTTGTTTCTTTTCCTCTTGCTCCGCCTGCTCTTCGTCCTTGAGCTGCTTCTCGAGATCTTCAAAGTCTCCAAAGAGCTCTTCGTCATCTTGTTTGGCCTGAGCCAACAGCTGTTCCGCGTCTTCGTCTGCAGCCCAACGACCCGTAACAAAACAGTCCCGAATCGATAAACACACCTGTGTGAAATTTCATGTACGTGGGCAAACACCATAAAAACAAATATAGAATTTATTAACAAAACTCAGTTATTTTCAGATTAGACTCAGATAAAATAGGATACCTAGTTTACCTTTAGCCTGAAATAAGGTCCTTGAACTCAGTCTGTTTAACACTAGCCTTGTCAATAAAAAGTGAAATGGCGTAAACTAGATCAACAATAAGAAATGGAACATGCATTTGAAAATAGCGGCTCAGCAAATCTTCGCTTGTGCCACAAACTGGCAAGAAAAGTCAACCTAAATATTATATTCAGGAATCAAATTAGCGATTAGATCTACCACAGCTCACGCACCGATTAAGAATTGAATTCACAGTCGAAGAAAGGAACTGGTTTTTTAGGTGACCAGGAAGAAACATCTGCCATACTAGTGCGGCAGCGTTCAAAGACATAATAGCAATAATGATTATAAAAGATGAAAAACGACAAAAAAATCAGTAGGAATCACGTCAATCCCTGAAAACTTGTTCACTCGCTTTAAATTTGGTCTACCTGATCATAATCAATTTCGTCAACAATAAGGCGATGGCGGGTGTTTTCTGGAGCGTTAAGATCTTTTTTGGTTTGGATCTTTCCTTCGCTTCTTTTGGTCTTAGTAAACAGGCCTCCGAAAACTTCGTCATCTTCACCCTCCTTATCGCTCCCCCCTTCGAAATCCGTTTGGCGGCTCGCCTTCTTAGCTAAAATGTTTTTGAAATAATTAAAGATTCATTTTATGTACATATGTGCAAAGCACGTTAGTTAGTCCTCCCTGATCACTAGAATCGAAATAGCATGGCTTTAAATACTTGGAACAGCATTCAAAAAACTTACAAGTGAGTATAAAGATATATATACGACTTTGTTTAATTACGTAGATTTTAAACAATTTTCACGAAAGTAAATGTACACTTAAAATAACCAGTCTTAAAGGAACGAAAAAATATTTCTAGATTTACGAGTTTGCGGTGCGGTATTCTCAAATATTCATCACGTATCCGTTGTGTATGTTATAGTAAAAAAATGTCGCCCTATCAGCATTTCTTGTTACAGAATTGTATGCCTCACCACCACCGTAAACAAGGAATTGAAGATTCCCGAGCTTTTTACTACGAGCAGCGTATCCCTCTGCGAGTTTCTTCATCATCTGATCCCGTGCAATCGGAAGCATATCTTCATCTAAAAGAAAGTCATAAACGGCGCCTGATCACAGTATGGCAGAATACCTTTATGGTAGTAACAGCGGCATAAGTGTGTCGTTCACACATAATTAATACTTGTTATAATAAATAAAATATAATTAATACTACATATTTAATTCACAAATGATCTAACATGTTCTGTTCCACATGATATCAGTAAATGTATTTACTGATACTATTACCTACAAAATAATTTTCAAGATGCTGGCTTGTTTCGCTCGGACTTACCGCCATCTGACTCATTTTCAGTCGCGGCCATCTCCACATCTTCTTCTTCGAGAAATTTGTGTCCCCAATTATTTTTCATGTCATAGGACTTTCCATCATCTTTAGATTCACTGTCATCATGTTCGTCATCAGAGTCATCTTGCTCATCCTCATCCTCATCTTCGTCCGAGTCAGATCCGTTAGAACCCGCATCAGATTTCTGAATTTCATCCAATGGACCCATTGAACGGCGCACCCGCTTGGTCAACCTGAATTCATACGTAGAAGTTGGTTAAGTCAAAAAGTAAGTGAACAATGAAAACGAGACGGTTCGTTCTATGTGTTGTTCTAAGTATACGTATTCCTAGCGTATTCCTTCTTCGCATTGCTGTACTGTAATGAGAAAAGCCTGTACTAAGCTAGAATTATAAAATGATGTCCAAATTATTTGTTGTGAAAATAGACGACCTGTACGCACCATATTTTGTCCGTGAATGTACGCACTTTAAAAACGTACACACATTATTTTTTAAATATATAATCTGTTTTTTAATTTACAAAATGAGTCTGCTTAATAGCTAGTTACTAAGCTAATCAATTCAAATACGTCTCTGTCATACTCATTCGTCTCATCCTTGTCAAGCGGCTTTGTCCCAGATAAAAGAGTAAATCCAGTGTTCGTGATCTTCTGATCCAGAGGGACCTTAGTTTGCAAAAGGCCATCCAGTAGACCCTGCTCTTCATCGAGTTCTTCATCAGCCGCCGTACCTGCATTAAAAAAAAGAGAATGCATCGGCTACCGTTTCACTGTAGGAAGTTATTTAGTCAGCAGCGAGCGTTTCGAGAACATCGCAGCTATTCAATAACCCAATTCTCCGAAAAGAAATATACCATTGCGGAAATAATTTCAACATAAAATATAATTAGACATATTTGTCGACAAAAGCAAGCTGATAATTCAATCTTTAGCTGGGGTTCAAAAATTCCTTAAAGTTATTCTAGTTTAGTGCTTAGTGCTGCGATTGATCACATATGATCATCGCCAAGCCGTAAGATATTCAAAATTGATAAAAGCGACAGATTAAACGAACACTTCGTTTAACTCTATTATGGCAATTCCGAGAAATGGAATTTTGCTAATATGTCAATAGTTTTTTCGTACATAGGTATGTTTACCTGTGTGATGCGAATGACTGCCTTGAAGATCAATGTAAACGGCATCCTTGTCAAATACTACGCCACCAACGCCCGACATCGGAGCATAAATGAGACGTTCCCGATCATCCAATTTTCGCTTTTTCAATTTGTCAGGAAGCGGACATGGATCAGGTAAGTATGAGATATCAGCCGCGGTGTAGTCGCCGCATCCTTGAAAGTTTCAGGACACCATTAATGGAACATTAAAGCAAGCTTTTTCTAATTAACGTAATTATTTAAATTATTTTCAATTTCTTCGTCACTCTTCCAGCATGGCACTGCTTGAATTATGTGATCATCTTTCCGTGGCACTACCAAGAAGTTCTTTTTGGATTGGCATTGGATGGAGGCAGCCAGGTATAAACAAATTAAAAAATGCCAAGCAAACGAGTAAAAGATTACTCTTAAAAGTATTGCAAACAAGTAAAATATGAGAATTTTTTCTTAAGTAGTCATTTAACACTATTTTGCAGACAAACATTTTTTCATTGGGTAGAGCTATTTCGCCTACCAACTGAAAGGACACAAAGGTGGCCTATTTATATCTAAGTTATGCGAAGGAACGTATTAACGGCTGGATATAATAAATAGAAATAGGTATCTTACCAGGAATATGAAACAGAGCGTTCTGTTTAAGGTGAGCTCCGCGGCTATAACCATAAAGGCATATTGTTCGGTCGATTTTCGGATTTTGTCGAATTAGCTCTTGGCCAGTGATATCTTCAAACCGATCCGCCAAGATATACGGATGAGAAGTTCGCCAGTCCAGAGGACGAAACTTTATCGTCGACATAAAGCGACCAAGATTATGAATCTCGTGCTTTAGGTAACCGCCGTGCACCATACCTAAGTCAGGAAAGAAATATAAATCAAATAGCTATGGTCGGTAATAATATACCATTGAAATGGGTAAAATTTTTCTACGTTAATTCTTTAAAGCTTAATGTGTGTACATATGTTTTAATACTAATTGATTATAAACCCAGCAATTCGAGAAATATCGCCTTCAAGGGTAATTTAGTTATAAAGGGAAAATCTTCCAACTGCTAAATTGATATAATGCCTTACATTTCAATTAAACTGTATCAATAAGATTACATGCGTTTCAAATTGCATTTGCAGAATTTGAGCCAATTATGCATATTTCGTACATCAATTTTTTTATATATGTTTATCATCATAAAATAGAGTAAGGTAATTAGGTATGGTGTTATCATTTTGTTAACGGAAGGCCTTACCAGACAGATAGAATAATTTTGCGCCTTGATAAATTTCTGTCCAGAAACGATGTTTCATTTGTTTTTTAGTATTACGCAAGGTTTTATGGCTCTTGATCTGGTCAAGATGCGTGAGCACGCCCATTATCCTAGGAAAGCCATGGACCTGGCAGATGTTTAAGAACTCAAATGTCTCCATTTCAAATCCGTACGAAGCATCCACGACAAGCAGAACGAGATCAGCGACCTAAAAATTAGGTCGAAAGCGGGTGCCATAAAAACGCCATTTTTAAAATGACATATAATCATTCTCGTTTTGATTCTTTGGCCTCCTTATTATCTGTTAGGTATAGCAACACAAACCTGGTTGAATTTTCGGCAATATGTTATTTGTATCATTGGCTCCCGTACAACGGCTTACCTTGGCCGTGTCGATCATCGAATTGATGTCATTGTTGCATTCCATCAACGTAAGACGTCGCTTCTTACCAGAAACGACGGTGACCTGAAAAGTTGAAGGAAAAATGCTGTTAATAACAACAATTTAAACTCGGAACGATTCGCATAGACTTCGCTGCACTGATATTGGTGGCAGCTCAAAAATATTTAAGTATAATAGAAGTACAAGACAATTCGTGATAGAAAAGAAATGTGTTTAATCATATGTACGGTCAGCAATTTAATCTGATATCTTAGACAATAAGATATCAGATTAAATCTTATTGAAAGGTAGAAAGTGTCGTCTAAATCAACGGATGAACCAACTTGAAAATAAATCTTTCTGATGATTTATTGTACAGAACTGCTACTTGCTGATTAACGATGTGTCGACATTATTCTAATTGGTGCAACGTGGCCCACCAACCGAGAATGACTAAAACGGAGGCGGATTCTGGTTTAAGCATATTCAAAAATCAAAAACGGAAAATCACATACTTATTAATGTTTTTATCAAAGGGCAGCAACATACAGGATTAAATTAAAGTAATTTCCCCTCAGTTGTATAAGCTGTGCATACCGGTCCGTTGATGTTGTTGATAATCTGCCGCGTATAGTTCTTGATGAGACATTTTAGCAGCGTGCTCTTGCCGACTTTAGGTGGACCTACGATGGCCACAACGTACGGGGGCGGTTCGATAGGGGTCCTGTCTACAAGCGGGATGTGGTGTCGCTTCTCTTGGAGATCTTTACGGCGTCGGAACATCTTCTCCGCTTTAACAGCTGAGTTGAACGCAAATGCCTTTGCATTGTTTGTTTTAGTAATGGCGCCCTGTTGGTAACAAAGAAGCATCAAATCATAATTGCATACTAAACTTTATGCCTATTTCTACAGTGTATTTCATATACGTGTCTGTACATTCAGGTAACTGAAACGATGCTAATTTAAGGAGCTCAGCACAAGACGAATTGCTAAGCTGCCAAGTGGATGTGTTCCAAATAATTTTGGTGTAAAAGTAAATAAGAAAAACAAACTTATTGATTTTCAGAAAAGTATCATAGGTTAGTTCAAAGAACAACGTATGCTAATTTATAAGCTCTATTTACGTAAAATTTTGTAGAAGTGTTTCACTAGTAATGTTGGGTTCGCATTTTTCGTACTCTTCACGTCGTGAACGGATGCAAGAATTCACCTGTTTGTTGGCTTTGGCTTTTTTCTTTTCGGCTTTTCGACCTGAATGACTTGCCACATGTTTCTTTTGGGGACGGTCGCCTCCATCAGTGGCAGAGTCCGCCATTTTTGAGTTTCTACCCTGAAAATTGAATTGACTGTATTTTGTTATTAGCCTTACAAGTTTTTTGTAAGCTCTATGCTCCCTAGATTAATCTTGAATGTACAGCACATTAACATCACAAAATTACTAATTAGCTTTTTGCGTATGTATTGTTTGTGATTTACACTCCCGTTATTTACAATATTCGTTAATTTTCAACGTGTACAAGACACTTATTTCATAATATATATATACCTTTTTGATGCAGAACAATTAAGACAGCTTACAACGTAAACTGGTAAGTACATCCCGTTCTGTCCAACAGCTAAATCTTCATCATCTGTGTGACATGATCCACGAAATCTAAATATTTGCGTTTAGATAAAAATAGATATTTCTAGAAAACAAGTTTTCCGTATTTGCCAGTTGTTCTTTTCGGTTGCTACTATTCCCGTCGATTATCATACGCATCTTCAGTATTTAAAGTGATCAAGATGGAAATCAAGTTTTTAATCGCAGTAGATGCCAGGACAATTTTCTTCGGTACAACTGTGCAAATCACTGTTTTGTCGCATCCTACACAATATTTATTGAAACGAACGCAGGAATTATTACGCAGGCTCGATACAGTTCTCTCCCACACGTGCACACCGCGTTGGCTTCGCGGGCTGGAAAACATCTAGCATAACGTAATACCGGTCACAAAACTAATATTAAAGTTACGCAAGTCAAAATCATTTCTCTAACTCACCTCGAGCGAATACGACAACGACAGATGATATTATTATTACACTAAAAAAAAAAAAACTACCTTCACACTTGTTACCGCTCAACAACGCGCTTCTTTCTTAGATACATGCGAATGGAACACAGTGTAGTTTATTTACATCGCGGAACGTGCGTCCGAAATATAACGATGTGGACTCCCCGGAACAAGTCCAAACGGTAAAGCAGATCCTATTCGAAACATCAAGTTTAATTATAAATTAAGAAAAAATTACCGCTCAGTATCTACAGTTTTGTGCTACAATCGTCACTCAATGTTCACTAAGATTGAATGCACGTCACTTATCTACTTGCCCAAAGCATAGACAACTGATCCGGTAAAGTTACCGGCTTGCTAGCTCGTTTCCTTTGAACCCAATCTAACGGAAGTGAGCGTCTGCAGTGAGTCGGCAAAATACCACTTTTCGTGTGCGAAAATTGCTGGCGTTCGGCGATCATTGTTGACACCGTTTCTTGATTTTGATGGTGGGGTCAGCCCAGTGTGCACCCAGTGATAAGAGCGTGAAGAAGGCCTAAAACCTGTGAGAAAGAATTTACATCCGAGGAAGTGAAAAATGTCGACAGAAGTGTGCGCATTTCTTACAAAACAGCAAAGCAGCAGTCCGCCGGATGTGGCCCTGCGTTGGGCAAAACTTGAAGAGCTTTATAATAAGCGGTTATGGCACCAACTCACTGTGGAGCTATTGTCATTTATCAGAGTGCGTACAAATTGCATATATGTATATATATATATATATCAGTTCCTTAAGGTCAGTAAATAACTGAAGTAAATGAGTTGGGCTTGTGCTAATTGATCGGATTGTTAGAGTTAATTGGCACCGCTAGTGGAAGTATGGCAAAAAAATTGGGATAAATTCTGCATCGTTTTGTTTTTCTTCAAAATTAATTTTAAAAAAAAGTAATGAGTGTACCAAGTAAAAGGTCATATTGTTTATCTGAGATATCGAATATGATTCAGGTGTATACATGTGCTGCGTGCTATCGAAAAGATATGTTAATCTGACTTGTGTGGTTGGGATAAAAGCTCTATAACTTTAAAGAAATCGATCACCCTACTATTTTTGATTGTACTATATTATAAATACAATGCAAATTTAAGCACTGCTTCAAAAAAAAAAGATCGGTCTGAATAAAACCTCTTAAAACAAGCTATTTGCCAAACATGAGACGCATAACAGAAGACCTCTTCCCTCTTCGTCCCTCTTTGAAATGTGCAGCGTATAGGGGTATCGCATGTAGAGAATTTCAATCCCTATTAGTTAAAGTATAAATGGCACATGTTTTGTTCTGACTTAATTGATAACGTATACTAAAATCGTGCAGATTTATGCATTTAATTCTTACGGTCTCAAATGCTTGAAAAATATCGCAATTTATTCTAAGAGCAGTAGGCCGCTCCGTCCCTGATAAGGGCCCATATTGGCCTCTTTTGCCGCCATTCTTGTTCGTGCAAACAACTCTTTCTGCACGAATTGGTGGTATGTACTCCTCGACACGGACATTCTGTTATTAGGTAGCTGTAAACGGAGACAACATTTTGTAGGGAGAGTAGATGTTAAGGTGAGTGATTCGTTCGGAAGAGTATTCCGCAACACTTATCATTCGGACAACAATTGACCGAAAGAACTACCTCCCTCACACTATGTATATATATTTTGTAATAATATTCTTCTATCTTGGTTCGAACTTCCTTATAAATATGGAGTTTTGCTTAAATCAAGTGTATGTAACTCGCTATTGTCAGTCAGTGACAAAGTTTCTATTATAAAGGGTATATATATATGACATTAGTAAAAGAACAAAAATGAGTAGTACTTGTAATATCTCGCCGCAAACAGTAAATAATTAAATAATCGCACGTATCAATTCGTCGTGGCAATTACAGGACCCGTACATGCAGAATAATGGTGGCCTGATTGAACTGTACGCCAACTTTATTCAGGACTTCGAAAGCAAACTCAACCTTCTTTCACTGGTGGAAATTATATCGGCTGTTGTTGAGCAAATGGTTGACCATGACGAATGCATGACATGTTTACAGAAAACCAAAGAGAGAGTCAAGGTAAGTTGAGCAAGGAGCGAACCTGGAAATGATGATACGTGATACACCTTTAGATATTCTACCGTCAGGTAATATTTTCTAACGTGTGTAGCTTGTACCCAATGTGGGATTTAAAGCGCAGCAGGTGGCTTTTTATGGAACCCGAACGAGTCTGGTGTTGGTATATGACGTAACTGAACAGCGATTGCCTTTATACATACAAGAATGGTGGACTAGTTGTATGCTGTACATATTTACCGAACTTTTTCTTAGTTAAGCTACGGGAACTATTTTCAGGGGTCTATATCTTTGAATCTTTACCATTCAGTATCTTTATAACAATGTAGTTTTCTCTCTGCATTAACTCTTCGATAGGTTCGTTGGATACTGGAATACTGAAGACATGGCTTATATGACTTTTTGATCTATGTCCAGAATGTAGTCAATATCATACTTAACTTCATTTTCAGCCAAACCCAAAGGCTGTTATCCTGTGCAACATTTTAATCGGCAAAAAGCTGAAGGACAAAGGTGATCTTGAGGCTGTGAAAAAGGTAATCGAGGAGACGGATCAACAGGTAAGCACAATTATTGGCCTGAGATAATTTCCGAGTCGCATATGTATTTCTCCGATGCCAGAACTCGTATAAAGAACTGTGGTTCTTAGTGACTGTCAAGATGATTGTTGCTAAGTGTTACTTTCTAGAAAAAAGACTACAATACGGGCTATGGGTTCACGTCTGAGTTTTCTGAGTGACTTTAGACGAGTAGAAATTTTTAAGTTCTAGCTTGGTGTCTTCCGTGTGTATCTACACTTGCGAGTGCTGCGATATAAATTACCAGTAAATATATATTGCTCAACTGCGTTTATGAAGTTGTTTTTTTATTTTGACGTTTTCGAGTTTGACAAACGAATGGCAACGGTTTAAAGAATGTATCAATTTTAAAACAAAAGTTTGTCACTTCCTCTTTGTTTTTTCCAAAAGGTGGAAGCCCTTGGCGGAGTGACCGAGGTGCACGCCCGTTTTTACCAATTAACGTCTGAGTTTTACAAGACAACTGCCGATTACGCTAACTACTATCTACACGCTTTGCGTTACCTTGGATGTACCGACGTCGAGGCGATTCCACTAGAGGAACGTCGCGAGAAATGCTTTACCCTGGCGTTGGCCGCTTTATTAGGTGACAATATCTACAATTTCGGCGAGCTTTTATGTCACCCGATAGTGGCCAGTCTAGAAGGAACCCCTCGTGCTTGGGTAAATCAAATCGTTTAGTGACTGATAGTAATTTTGTGTATCTTTTCCGTTCTGGCTTGCTTAGTGAGGAGTTACGAATATCTGAAGGCATTGGTAGCTTGACCTGCTTTCAGTAGTGCACTTATCTGGGTCAAGAGCCTTGTCTTGTGTTTCTGACTAACATTCTATTTGGGTACTCCGCTCATCTTGAGGTTATTGAGCTTCTTCGTGCGTTCAATCATGGCGACCTCGCGAAGTATAATGCACTTCGCCCGCAATGGACGACGCAAATGGATCTTCAAGCTAACGAGTTGACCCTCAAGCGTAAGATGTGTCTCTTGTGTCTCATGGAGATGACGCTCGATAAGGCCACAAATCAACGAGTATTAACCTTCCAGGTAAGATTTTTGGGTGAAACTGAGTAAAGCTATCTCTAAGTAGCTATATTTCTATATACATCTCGAAATAGGTTGCTCGAGTTGTTTACTTAGTCCACTTTAACATCCAACTATAAGCACAATTTCATCGTTTTCTAGGAGGTTGCAACCAGAACAACTTTACCGGTTATTGAAGTTGAAGTGCTTATGATGAAGGCGCTCTCACTTGGACTTGTTAAGGGTAACGATCTGATTGCTCTTGATGAACATATTGAGCACGTCATATTTTTTCCATCATTAAATAAAAGTTCTTAACTGTGTGAATCACATAACAGTTTCTATCTATGTTCACAACTGAATTTAAACACCTATAAATACGAGGTTTGGAGATAACGATATTTGCTAGAATTAAATGTTGCGAGAAGTAGTTTTTCTTATTTCGAATAGACGCTCCTGATTTTTCATTAACTATCAAATACACACATGACTATTGTACATAAATGTATAAATACCATTTATATTTTTTGCTTTTTATTCTGCATTTTTATTTTGCATTGTTTTTTTTAGGCACGATTGATCAGGTCGACGAAAAAATCACGATGACATGGGTCCAGCCGCGAGTAATGGACAAGGCGCAGATTGCCACCATGAAGCAACGACTCGATCGTTGGTGTCAGGACGTCGCTCAGATGGAGATGTTGCTGGAAGATCGAGCTTACGACATTCTCACTGTATAAAATTGCCTGGCCAGAGGCACATGAAGAAGCGAACCCTAGAAGATAAAACCAGCGGGTCTCCCGACAGCAACAACGCCATTTGGTTTTGTTTTTGGGCCGGCTGGATGACACAGTTTCCATCAGTGTAATTGGATGAATTCGACTGTTTATTGACGTAGCGTTCTGGATATGAGAGAAGACAAAAACTTTCGATAAGGGAGAACTGCAAATAGATAAAAAAAAAAAACACATGAAGGCCCAGATGTATATTGGACTGGAGCCAGTGTCCTTGACTAAGTTCTGATCTAATATATATATTCTACTGTTACTGACAACTCCACCTATGCTAATTAGCTTCTTCTAAATACTTGTGGGATATTTCTTTCTCTCGTATACAAATAACGCTTTTATCTTCGATAGAATAAAAGACCAGTGCCAGCTTTGTCAGCAATCTTCAACCCTCGCTAAGGAAACAAAGAAGAACAACCACGCCTTTGAGTTTAGGGTAAAGTTGGTCTTTATTTGGACTTAAATAACACACAAAGAAAAACGAATATTGTCTATCAAAGAAACAGCTTCTAGGCCTTTTTCTAAATTAGGCAGTTGTCCTTAATTTGGGGTGTAACGGGGTACAGTTTGCCTTGTGAGTTTAGTTTGCATAGGGAGACAGGTGATTTCAGGTATTCTAGAATGATGTGTGGGTGAAACAATGAATAGAAAAGTTAAAGAAAAGGGGAACGACAGAGAACAGACACATATATATATATATATATATAAAGAGAAGATATGTAAAAGTGGGGTAATATCTTTGACAATGTGCTCACGAGAGACTGTGACATAAATAAATGCAAATCGCGCTGATGTAATTATTTAAATGCGTCAAGATTGTTTTTCTTTTTTGTTACCTCCCTTGAGTGAAGAGGGCCTGTCAGATTTATTTTTAAACTTAAGTTTTTTTAAGGCCCTCAATAACTTAGAATGAGAAGAGCCTAACGGTTAAATGTGTTTTCGCGATCGAAAGCTTTTAGTGTTTGGTGCATGATGATATCGTACCTAATGTAACGGCTAAAAAAGGCTATATATAATGTTACTGCTATCTTTCTACCGACAAAGTGGGAATCGTCTAGAAAACTAAACATTGTACAACTACACATACATATATAGAGCACGCTGTCCATGCCAATCACAAATAATTTGTTACGGTATTGAAGGCAAATTATTTTTAAACTAAATAAAGTTTCGGTTCTTCAACAAGCAAGAAGCACAGCGTTTCGTCAGAATTCTAGCAACAAATTAGTTTATTACGTATTCGGCGACACGCTTTATGATTCTCTCTTATGTCTCGACCAATTTATCTATTTTTTCTCGCTAGAAATTTTCAGGTCTGGTTTTAGAAAGTTCGTTCTGTCGAGTTTTGAGACCTGTTCCATTTTTAAATGGATGATTATGAATTTCATTTATCGGTGAGCGAAAAAGGTGATACTCTGGCGGAACGAAATCTAAAGAATATGGTGAGTGCAAGAGAACCTCTGATCCAAACTTTTTCAAGACAGCTTGCACAACCATTGCCATGTGCGGCATACTCGTCGAGAAGGATAATTTGCTTCGTTGATTAGGCCTTTTCTGTTAGGTAAACTCATTGATTCGATGCTACTAGCTTATATACAGATAACTGTTGACTACTTTGTTCTTCTCCAGCAAAACCCAGTGCGAAATCCCTTGTGCACGCAAACCGTCGTCTTTTTGAGATGGAAAACTTGGTCTAAGGATTATTTTGCGAAGCAACCCAATTCTGTCTCTCTTTTATCGACAACCCATTTCACGGTTCTTGTTACTAATGGCTATCTATATAAGATGTGGCTGCGTATTGCCTGGTGCCGAAAGAGATGTTAAGGGTTGATAAGAAGCCCTTTTTTCTTGCGCGCTTCAGTCAGTACACGCCACATCCAGGTTTTTAGTTTCTGATGAAGTTCTACCAATACATTCGCCCGGTATTCTCAGCATGTCTTTTAGGCCAACCAACGGTTTTTTGTTATTCGAGCACCTCATCGACCTGGAATGACTTACCCTGTGGCTTCGTTTTCCAGATTGCGAACTTTATCTTCGAACTTAGTAACATTTTCTAGCAATCCTTTTAGTTCCAAGTTCTCGCTGCACACGACACATATATCCCAGGCTGTCTTGGTAGGTTTTGACTTTAGTGAAAAGTGGAATAGAGCAGACCTCGAAAACGCACCTTTTTCCACTTGGAGTCTTCATTTTCAAAGCCTGAATTCGACTCGTATATTTAGAAGTCACAAAGAAACGTAAACGTCTGTAAAACATCCTTGTGTTGAATTCAGAGATAGACATCGGAACTTGACATTTCGCATTAAAATGTTCAAGTATAGGACCTACGTCTCCGAATAGTGTTTCTAATAATTTTGTTTCAGAAGAAGTGTCAATATAATTTTTTTATTTAGATAATTCGGAAATTTGTTATCATCTTGTCCTTAACTGCTAGATTACTTTTTACATCTTTTCCTTGGAGCAGACTGTTTGCAGTGAAATACCATTATATTAATACCACACACAGATACCACTACGAAATTTAATCATTTGCTTAGTAAAAACGATTAAATAAAATCTTTTTTTTGTAGTCATACGCAAAATTTTTTTGACGAGCAAAACTCAAGAGCCATTGGATAATAAGATTTAAACCCTTCACTAATCTGAAATAATTTCTAATGGCTTAGAATCTAGACGTCGAAAAAAAAATAAAGCTTCGATCTAATGTATTCATGTTTCACCTCTATATTAAGAAACAACTGATTCTGATTCAGACGAGCGCTGTGATGTCAATGAACAGGGCTAGCCCGTACTGTTACAAACTAAACTAGTGCCCATGAATGGTTATTGCTATTGAAAATTATCTTTTCATCAAAAGACTTAGCGTTTTTCTATGGAACTGACTTTGAAGATAAATTTTCTGTATCCTGTATACCGAGCTGTGAATGAAATGTGGTGACGAGCGACGATTATAAAACTAGACCGCATTAGATGAAGGTTGGTATATGGTTTTTTTTTTTTATTTAACATTTCGCCCAGGTATTATAAAATAATGCGAGTACAGACCGTTCTAGCATAAAATACCTTTTAAAATCAATAAAAAATTTGCCTTTTAAATTCTAACGATGTAGTAGATGCAGCTATATTTTCTTTCTTGGACAGCAAACACGAAATCGAAGAGTTTGCCAGTCTTGTTTTTCTTATTATATATGCAATATTTTTTTTAATAGAATTTGGCCAACTTCTCTCTTTTTGATATGGACTGCTTAAGCCAACCCATCGTTCGTTTTAATATTCAAACGAGAAATCGATGTATGTATTCCGTAAGGACAATTAGTAGAGAGAAAATATGGTTTAATCATTCTAATTCGAATTTTTCTGTTTCTGCGCACCATTAATACAACCACTAAAAATTCTGAAAACGTTCATGCAAAGCATTCAAGTTTCACGAGAATTTACGCTTAACAGTGCTCCCCATTTGCGACTTTCCTCCCTTTAGTCATATTCATCTATTAAAAAATATATTTACCGTCTGGAGCGATCCAATACATACTTCCGTCTAGAGTTTAATGGGTATGTATTTTCGATCCTTGATACAAGATTCTAGAATATGATTTTATTCTACCTTTTACTGACAGTCGGTGGAACCAAACTGCCGCAAGTACTGCACAGCGAGGGTGCGAAGCAAATGCTCATAAATGAATTATTATAATATTATTCATATACAGCGTTTACGATAATTGTGCAACTAAGTAATATATTCGGATGGGAACACAGTTAAACTTGGTCAGACATACGAGGTGCTTTGTGGACAGCCGGTCAATTACTTATTAAATAAATTCATTTTTCCTTTCATTTCACTCAGCAAACTTATTTCAAAAATAACTTTTTTCTTTATTTTATTGTAATAACGTGAACAATTGCAAAGCATGTCAAGGAATCGTGTAGTTTAGTAAAAATAGACTTATTGAACTTGGCAGCGCCTTCCGTAATACTAGTGGTTGCCGTTGTTTTAGTAGATTCGGGAGGCAGCACACGTAGCTCTACTGCAACGTGCTTTTAAGTAGAGCTAAATTTCGTGAAATATACGTTATAAAAGGTAACTGCTTACTCTAATTGTTACCTTTCTATTTATCATAGCTGTGACCTATACATAATAGCGGTTTCTCACTTCCCTGGACTGTTCAGTTTTTTTTCGCTCAGCAAATATATTGTATTTTTATGGCTCAGATTTGAATTATTATAATCCTCCTACCTTTCATATTTACCGTGGTTAAACTATGTATATGCGCTCATGCTAAACAATTTCTAACAACAAGTATCCGAGAAATCTTGTAACGTCATTGAAGAAATTCGCCGGTAAGTTATTGCACAAGCCTATGATGCCAGAAAATAACAAGAACAAATGAAAGGGCAGCTTAAAGAGAACGCACAAGGATGTGAAGATCCGGGAAGACACCGCGCAGACGCCCGCCATAGATGTATACAGAGGAAAACTCGCGGAAAGTTATGAGTGTTAACGAGCACTTCGCAAGAGTGTAGCAGCTCTGAAAATTACATTTTTTATTTTTAAGATAATGATGCTTCTATGATCATTATTGTAAATATATCGGAAAGGTAACTGAATTTTCTTTAACGAAATGATTTTATTAGCTGTTATTAGTTATTATTCATTATTTTTAATAACTGGTGAATTACGTTCCTAACTCCTCTTTGACGACATATCTGTTGTTTACTTTTACTGGCAAATTTCCGAATGACTGCGATAGCGGCTAAAAAGTGTTAGACAAACGCTATTATAAAAATAACAAGTCATAATACTAGATTGGGTGTCCTCTGGGCCTTGGCCGACGCTCGGCCTGGATTGTTTAATAGATTTCAGTGCTAGAGAGTTTCGAACTTCACTGATACGGATATCGTAAGATGCGCACTTGCTGCCTTGTAATAACACAATTTTTATTTATATCACCGCCAATGACATATACTGCACGACAAGTATAGTTAAATAAATAAATAAGCAAACAAATATATGCAACCGTTTATTAACTTTGCTGCAGCATGATTGTATTGTTTTTTTATAGGAGCATTTCCTTTTCCAAGGTAGGCAATCATAGTAGGTACGAAATGCAGCCCAGTAAACTAATCCAATGTTTTATTTTTGATCATATTACGTATGATTATCATCTATAAAGAATAGTAACTTATTTATTATGGTGCACATTCGTGCCCTTTGACCCGAGTCGGTTTTCACCGGTTCTCACTACTTCCTCATTTATGTTCGTAGATTGTCTAACACAGAACTTAGTTTCAAGTCAAATGTATTAATTTACTAACTAGTGCCCTCTAGTAGTGCTTGCAGCAGTAAATCAAGTCTTAGAAGACAGGGTATTTCCGTCGCAAAGATGAAACGCACATACGTTAATCATTTCATCAGTTTTCTGATTTTTCATAACTCGCCGCAGTTCGCTGAAAACCTGAGTAACTGCATTTTAGTAAACGGTCTCAGATTCAAAACAATATGGATTCATTTTCAAAACAAAGAGAGGCGTCGCGCCATTATAAAACAAAGCCGTTCTGAAGAGCATGGCATGAGCGTTTATTGCATTCTATGCTCCAAATTTAATAACCGTTTGTGTGAATAAGAGAGGTGTTTTTTTTTTTATAACAGTGCAGTAAACGCATCTAAAATGCATATAATATCTTAGGATCGCCGTGTCGTTGTGGGCTCAAATGATACATTGGAAGTACAGAAATATCTGATTTATAGCATAATGATTTAAAATAGACATTCATTTCTAGATGCAATTTACGTTACGTTGTAGAACACTATTTTTACAATAAAAGCTTTTCAAAGCGGAATCACTTGTCCTCGTTGGAATAAGACTGCGTAAATCGAACAACTGCAATGGTCATACGCTCTAAACCAATAAGGCCCTAAAAACAAGTTTAGTTATGCCATAACCATATCGTTCGTAGAGATTCAGCAACATCTGAAACGATCAAATGCATTTTCTTGATTCAAAATTAGCGAAAATCGTTGAAGAAACGATAACAGCACATTCCAGGAAAGTTTTTAACACAATAGCATTTCTTTTTAATAATTCCTTTATAACGTAACGTACATTTTAAAATAGATAAGGTTATGATGTTGGTAGTAGCGAAACAAGCGCAAGAGATAATGAAAGAACTCTCAGAAGAAAGTGAGAAAAGGTTTCAATTATAAATCTCTCAGCTTTATTTTTACTGAGTCAATTAGTTATTGGTAAAATAAAGGAAAGGGTTACTGGTGTAAGCACATTTTCTTGCAGTCACTACACAATTATCTCATTACTTTTCTCAACTTTGTAATGTATAGTAGCTGACACACAGTATTAAATCGTTATACTTGAACTATTTGTGCTGCAAAATACCACTGCAGCTAGGCAAGTCGATAGTTTAATTGACTGTAATGGTTTTCTATAACAGCACCTGCTTGTTGTATCAATATTAAATCTAACTACAGGTCAAACTACTTGTTTTTCTCATCATACTTAGCTGTTCTTTCTGTGTGGACAAGTTATCAGAATCGTCTCTTCTATATAGCGTTAAGGGCTCGTCTCCGCTGGGGGTTCTGTCCCTACTGGACCTGCTTAGGGCTTTTCTATTTCATTTGAATCAGCTGTGTGCTATCGATCGGGAGTCAATAAGATATCTTATTGTAAAGACTGTGTGCTGGAGAAGTTAGCAAAATACCAGTACTTGCTCATCCGCTAACAGCTAATCTTCTTGACACTGCGTATGTATTATTACATTGTTGTTGTTGTATGAAAAATAAAAGTGATTTTTGATTATATTTTAGTTGTGGGTTTCCGGCTATTTCTCGAGATCGCACCCGTACTTGTAGGTAACAAAATAGTAACCCCTGTTGTTTTAGTCTGATAAATTTGCTTAAATCTACATTAACGAAAAAGTTCACAGCCGCCTTTCCATGCCAAACAATTCCAATTGTTTACGGTAAATAAATTAATAGACATCGTGTCTGGAGTAGTAGCTGCGGTGAGATTTTCAAATTCCTTCTACAAATGGAGGCCTGCTGCTTTCACGAACGGTATCTGTGGTGACGATCCATGGGCCATTCGTACTTTACGAAATTAACCCTAACACTAATATCTGATTAAAGTAATTGCTCCCAGCGTACATTGACCATTTAATATTGTGGACTTTTATAATCCTACGAGATTCGGTGATGGTGAGGGGTGGGAAAAAGATGCAGAGAATAAAATAAGATCTGTTTCTGCCACCATGATGCGGCCTGTCTCGACGTAAATAGTTTAAGGCTTAAACAGGTCGCGGGAACGGAAATCGTTCACCCGAACGTGAAACTCGAACTTGAAGAGTTTTCTTTTGAGGAAAATCCTGTCGGCTTCAGCTACCGTTACATTTTTGTGGCACTCATAAACAGTACAGGAATTTCGGTTAAAATTTTTTTCACAATATTCCGCATTCATTGCGCCGAAGTTGTACCAGGATGCTAAATATTTGAAAACAAAAAATAAGTACAGTGTATTTGAATGAAGAAAAAAGTCAGTTCTGGTGATTCGTCTTTAATATTTACCGAGAAGAGCTGTTGATCTCATAAAATGAGAAAATTAAAGAAATTTTTAACTCAACCTACAAAATATAGCTTAAGTCGTTCATTTATCACTTTTTAGACACTCTTTTTTTGGGAAGATTAAAAGATTATTAGTATTAGAAGATTTGGAAGTTGCCGTGACCGATTATGACCACTTAATAATCTCATATGCGGGATATGATTAGGTGCATCGGTGAGATTTTTTTCTAACGATATCTGCGCAATTTTAACAAGTTCGCGACCATATTCCATTACAGATGTCATATAATATCCCTTAGAATCTTGCTGCCTTTAGTTATAAAGCAAACTAACATTTTGCCTGTGGCCTATATCTCAATAAATGCATACCTTATACATTCTAAATAAGTACTGTGTTCAACTATTTCTACTTGGTACGTTTCTAAAATGGACCTCTTTATACCGTTGTTTTTTGGGCATCTTCAATCTTCGCTATGGATTAAAGCGCTTACGATTTTAAACGTCGAATTTAAATTTCAATATTTTAATCTCGTCGTTTGTTATCCTGTTTTTCGTATCTTTATTAGCTCTATTTGATTAATAGTAGAGATAAGGCACTCAGCAGTTTTGGGAAAGACGTGTGAATAATGTCGGTATTCAGAAAGGTTGCCCATTCGAAACTTTAATGATTTCGTACCTACTATTTTAATATATATACACCTAGGTACTATTCAGCGGAAAGAAATTCTATTAGAAAAGTGAGATATGCTGAATATCTAAAGGGTGAAATCAGAGAACGCTTGGATGTAGAACCGCACAAAACCGTTATTTATATTCTATACGTCATCCGCAATTCGTGAGCGTTGTTGCGGCGTAGTTTATGATGCTTCATCGGATAACCTTAACACCCTATCGTTTTGCAATTCTCGCTCAAATTTATTGACATCTGAAAAAATGGGTAAAACAAAGGCTCGTATTGTCCATAGGCACTTCTATATATTATATGTATTTTTTTTAAAAAGAAACATCTGCTTCTTAGTAAATATACGAGATGTTAAGGCAAAAACAACTACAGCAATCAAGCGATGTCATCCTGAAGATAGAAACGTTGAAAGCACCAGGCTTCTTTAGCTGTTTGTTAGTCGTGCACGTTACGCGTACCAGAAGCTGACTCATGGAAAAACCGGGTTACCAGGTCGAGTTATAATATAGTAAATGGCGCACCACAGTAAATCTAATAGAAAAAAGATTGTGCTTAATTTAACGGAGCAGAATGTGATATTCTCCTTTGTAGACGATGCTCCGAGGCATGCGTTTGCAATGTTGACTGTGTGTGTGTGCGCGTGACTGGTTTGTCAGCCTTTAAAAACGGGCTTTTCAGAAGATAGCCCCCTGCACATGCATTATCTTAAAGCGTCGTCAAATAACAATAGAATTTGTCTGTTCTTAGCGCGTGTCCTATACGAGGTTATATATGCTTCGCGTTACAAGTGAACTTTGGAGGGAGCGGGGGGGGGAGGTTAAAACCGCTAGAAGCTATTGTCGTGGCCTTGAAATTTTGTGACTTCGCCGGGAAACAATGCGACCGCTAACGGTTTAGCTAGATAATTAAGCTGGGATTCTCTTGAGAAGTAACTTATTCAGTAAGGACGACTGTAGGCACGGGGGCTATCTTAAGTGGCAAAAGGAGTGTTCCCGGTGAAAGGGTTTTTTTATGGCTTCAGGTTGTCCGCGAACTGATATATGTACATAGACCCGTCTAAACTAAACACCTTAGAACAATTCGTGCTTGCGTCTGGCATTATTTGGGTGTTTAACCGTGCGCGGCGTGCTTGCCTTTTTAATGCGGTTTTCTGCTAAAACGATCGGAAAGTGAACCAACAACTGAGGACCCGTACTCACTTCCGAGCAAAATCACGGAGTAGGAATGATGTGTTTATTCTAGATATATATCCACATACTTTGGTATCGATAACCGAATCTGAGCCAAAAACTGATTCAGATGATATTCAATAATGATATTTGTGTATACAGTACGCAATGTGAGTTGTGAGTAATGCGTGCGGTAAAGCATTCTATAAAGGTTAGAGCTAAAAGTTTATTATAATGTTTCTATTAATGATTTTAGTGGTCAAGTCTTGATAAAAGATCCGTGTCGTTGACAGTTTTAGACAATGCAGTCTCGATCAAATCGCCACTGGTGGACGAATTTCGTTCAGTATTTTAATTAAAAAAAAAACCATTTAATTGGCATTTACGATGCGTACAGCATATGGCATTGTTAGTATAGGAAGTTTATCCGTGTATATATATACAAGTGCATACAACATGTATGAAACGAAAAAAAGTAGTTTGTTTAAAAACCTATGTATACACACGATGTGTACTCGTGTGCATACGTACACAGTAAACGCCAGTGAATTTAGAGTAATATTCAATATGCAGACCGTGTGTCGTCCTCTTTAAATTAGGTGGTAAGTAGGGTTTTTGAAATAAAGCAATTGAAGTCGACGTATGCATCTGGTAGAAAAAGTGCCGTATTACAAAGCTCTAGGGAACGCGAATAGAAAATCACTTAGTGCGTTCGACGAGTGGCAGACCAGGCCGGTCAGAGTGGAGTTATAAAAAAAAAAGTCGCTGAAAAGGCCTGAGTGGGTTTTTTCATCAGATTTTACATACGACCCGGCTCTCTCTATTGGTTCGAGCCAGAAATAGGTTAAAAGCGAACGTAGAAGAGGCCTGGTAATCGTTAGTCAACCTTAAGGAATCGCGAGCATACACACCTGTTAAGGCAAAATTGTCAATACCTGATGAGAAAGAGCATTATTTAGACATGTAGTAGTTAGAATTACGTCTTTCCCATAGAACAATTCTGACCAACGTCGTGAGTAGAGAAATGAAATGGCGCAAATAGAAATCGGCTATTTATTAAAAACTTGTAGCGTTTACTAAAGTATGCTTATTGGCAGTTTAAAAATTTATAAACCTGAACGTACATTATTCGGTTTAGTTTGTCGATAATATACGACAAGAACTTATTCAGACGGGTAGTTTCTGATGAAATTCTTATCTGTATCGTTAATGTTGGTTTCGTATGAAAAGTATCAGAATGGATCTCATGGCAGCCTTTCCACGGGAACATCGTTTTAAAGGACTTCTGTTCGATTATCCATCATTGGTGTTTACCACAGTGGTCGTCTATATCGCCATCGTTCTAAAGTTCGGTCCGGATTATATGCGTGACCGAAGGCCTTATAACGTGCGTGGACTGACAAGGGTGTATAATATTTTACAGGTAAAGAGTATATCACGCGAATGTATCTGTAGGCACCACGTAGATAATAATAAAAAATATGTCGCTTGAAAAAGTTAAAAACAATTCTATAATACATATAATAATCTATTCTAACTTGATTTTGTACGGTAGTTATTACCCTTTGTTTCCAAAAGCATGTCTAAAAAACATCCCAGAAAACTTAGACTAATTCATGTTGACTTATGATTTTTTCTTTATGCATGCACATCTATTTTTTATCTTGAAAACGTTATAACGTCATTTCTAGGTCCTCTTCCTGGAGAATACACGAAAGCAATGCTTAAAAAGGACGATTGTCTCTAGACGGCCTAAAAGACCGATAGCCTAGGCTGTCTACTATACACAAACAGAAATTTAAAGTCAAGGTCTAAGCTTAGTGGCCCTTTTGATACAATATTGATAAATCGTTTGTTTCCTGAGTTACATAAATTTATATTTGTGCTTCTACCTTTAGCGAGCATGCTCTGAAATTTGGGATTGCGAGCCAAACTACACCCGTGAGGCGTATCGTCTGTTCTTGCAAACAAACGATACAATGAGAAATTGTAGATGTTGGTATTGTTGAGGGCCAATATCGCTCTATCCATTGAGTCTATTCTTAATTGAGAGTTCTAAATACATAATTATTTGAAGATGCGAGGGAATTAGCTAAACACTCAAAGAAACCATTTATAGAAATTATATAGCTGTAACCTAATCACACTCAAGTCGAGTCGTTCGCTGACCGTGTAGCTTTGTCCTAAAACGATTGACTCAAGTCTATTCCGGTGTTGGCCCTCAAGGAGCCAAGATTTCAGTCCGTAGAAAGACCCAAACATTTATGTAAAGAGTTAGTGATCAAAACAGATGCAAACCGTAAAAAAGACAATTTATAAAATTAGTAAAAAACTGTGGCAGTATTCGATATTTTTCGCAAAAAAAATATTTCAAATAACAGCTGATCTGTTCTACCCGCACATACAGGTGACTTGTAACTTGTGGTTCTGCTGCCAAGCACTCGAGCTGTTATGGAGATATCGAGGGACGGGGCGTTTTAACATGTTTTGCAGTCTGCCCACAACTGACCAGCCTAATCTCGAAGGTCCGGGAGACACTGAACATTTGATCTTCTTTAGTACAGTATATTTGTACGTGCGCGCTGCTGACATGTTTGATACGCTGCTGTTTATCCTCGCTAAGAAGCTATCGCATGTAACTTTCCTGCACGTTTATCATCATGCCATGGTAGTCACATCGGGTAAGCGAGGTCACAACATTGTTTTATTTCTTTGTATTTTTTCTGTTAGCTGTCATACACTTGTGAAGGTAATCCAATTCCAACAAATGACAGCCCTTAGTTGGGCGTGACGTAACTGTTGTAGGCCTAGAGGTGTGATTCAGGACTCTGCAGATATAAGCAAGATCACATTTGATACTAGTGAACTGTAGGGGTGAATTATGATTGAAGAAGGGGTATGTTTTTTATCATTCGTAAGCTGCGAAAATGTAACTAAAATTACACATTTTAAAGAAAGAAAAAATTCACATGAAAAGGGTTGGTGTGGTCCTATGAAACTATCAGCCCAACAAATAAATGTTATAGTTAGATGTTATACATGTAAAATAGATGTTATATCAGAAAATTGGCGAAGTGATCAAGTACCAACTATTTCTTTGTCAAATATACATTAGAACTTCAAATTACTGCCGTATGCCTGACCTATTAAACATTAGAAGTTGCTCTTTCTCTAGCTTTAACCAGCCTATTTAGACTTTGAAAAACTTCAGGAACTTATTTTAGGATATTATTGCTATATCATAATCAACGGTTTTAGTGTTGTTCAGGTAAGCATGCCTCCGGTGCTAGCTAGATACTGTATTTCATTCTTAGTTTTATAACATGGTAAACGTGTAATCCTAACTAATTTTAATTAATTTTATTGAATTGTTTGTTGCGGTCTCCTATCTTGTTTATGCCTTAATTCTCTTCCCCGATTCTTTCACGTTGTGTGCGAACTTGTGGAACGTATTTTGCGATAATTAAGTTAGCCTAAAATTGACTAGAGTAAACAGGGACATTTTGTTTTCAACGAAAGAAAAAAAAGAACAAATGATTTTCAGTTAGTTGGGCCATATTCAAGCATTGTTCAAAGAGAAAATTGTTTTTCTTGCAGTCTACGTCTACCTCCGATCGGGTTGGGCAATATCTGTGTATCACATCGGAATCCTCAATGCAATGATTCACGTAGTCATGTACTCGTACTATTTTTTATCGACGTTCAGTACGATGAAACCATACCTCTGGTGGAAACGCTACCTAACAGTTCTACAACTAATCCAGTTCGCTATAGCTGGCATTTATATGGTCCTATTCGCGATCTGGAACTGTGGCTTTCCCCCGATCGTAGTACAGTACAACGTTTCGCAGGCAGTGATATTGTTTGCACTGTTTAGCCAATTCTACGTGCAGAGATATACAAAAGCCATTGACTTGGTAGCCGGAAACAGGCCAGGTGCGTCGGGTTGAAAGCTGAATGACGTCAACATATCGCCGCGTGATCAACGAGTTTAGTAGAGAAGAGGACATTCGAAAGAGATTGCAATAGAGCAACTGGCCAATTGGTACGTTGATAGTTAGATAAATACGCGTAGTGTAAGATCTCAAGGACCTGGGTCTTCAAACGACGAACCGCTCTTTGGCTCACGGCTGACTTTAGGCAGTCTCACGTTAATCTAGGTACGTTCTTGATGTTGAAGCGTCTGATCAAAACATACGAGTAAAGTGAGAAAAGAATCCTACGTTTAGCTATCGTTGCTGTTATACAATGTTTTTCGGTTGAACCACGTGTTGTTATTATAGCTGCGTTATGTGATGGGCAAGTAATATCAAACAGACATATATTTACATTTTATTTACTTTATACAACAATCACAAACTTAATACAAAACACATTAGCAGTTCTAACTGAGCGTCTGAAGCAATGAACGAATCTAAAACGCACTTTTTTTTAAAAATAAATAGACAGTATTTTGTTCTGCTTCACATTTTGACGACATCGTAAATTATGTACAAAGTAAAAAGTTAGCATATGTCCATAAAGTGCGGCGAGTTTTCAGTTGACAACTTAGAGCAGAATTCATTAGAATGCTGCTTATTGTACGCTAGGATTTGGCGGCGAGAAGTAAGCTTCCACTAAGATTTCAACTCGCGGGTTTAGTGTCAAAAAATAAATAAAGTGCAGTTGAAAAATCAAATATATTGCTATTATTATAATTATTAGACAAACTTACTACTACTTAGTCATCGTACAATGCGCTTAGGGACACGTGTGGTGGCCTAAGTTCGAAACAGTGCGTAGAGACACTTGTTCCGTGATAGAAAGAGCCAGCCATTTTAAGCAGTGCTTAACGATGATACCATACTTAAAACTCAAAATATTTATTCACGATTACATTTATTAGGTATCGAGTCACCTTCAATTTGTTTTAGTTGCCGCGCTGACGGCAGACATTTTCTTTGGCTCAATACTTGCTAAATATTTTTTCTTAGTACCGTACTGATTTTCTAATCGATTTGGCGTTACTATTAAATCAAATGTACTCGTTTCTGCTGCAAATATCTGTGTGTGTGTCTTAGGTTATACAGAAGAGCTATTTCGTCGGCTTTACAGAAGCTTCCGCCCATTTTTACATCACGAACCTTTATCTTTTTTCGAAAAATACTGTTGAAAATTCTGGGAAAGAGTTCAGTGCTAAAAATAAAGGGCTCGACAATCTTTTTTATGCGAAAATCCGCTAAGTGATTCTTATCTCATTGTTGAACTCAAACTTCCTGACTCTTCCTAACATTGATTTTCCGCCGTGGCAGACACTGGTTTTTCTGTTGTTAACGGTTTTTTGTTGGTCCCGGGTGACACATTGATTCTGCCTTTGAACTGTTAGTGCAGGCCATGTCTTTCTTCTCCGTTATCGAGCCAGAATATCAACTTTAAATACACAGACATCTCTTTTCTTGACTCGTGTTACGAATCGGACCTTCGTCGGGTATAATACCATAACTTTTCAGTCATCGGCTGAAACTTTCGACACGAACTATACACATCTAGATTAAGGTTATTGACTGTATTCGGCTTCTGACTGACGGCAAGATCAAACTCAAAACTCCGTAATTGAAAGTTTTGTGCAAAGGAAAAGATGTAATGGTTAAATTAAAATAGGCGCCATCCCGAACCTAGTATACAACTTCCTTACAAACGCTCATAAAACGTGCTTCAGAACATACTTAAAAATACAACAAACGAGCAGCCGGCCCTGTAGTAATGCAGATGGGCAGACGTCACCAGCGACAAAGTATAGTCTTTGACAAGTCAGCATCATTTAGTCCTCGACGTAGCTTTTTATCACTGGCACGAACATGTCCATCGCGTTTTCTTGTTATCCAAACTATAATTACTCTTTGGTTCTATCTGTATTATGTATTACATAACAGTTATCAGAAAGATATCTTTAGAAAAGCGTAGTAATGCTTACTTTTTTTTCTTTTTTTTTTTTTTTATAATTACAATAACGGCATCCGTTTGTTTCCGCCAAGGTACACGCGTTTTGCTTGTAATCATTGCTCTTCGCGAGCGTTTTTCTAACAGAGCTTTGTTTGTGCTTTGGCGACGCTGCCTTCTGCGAGTACTTTTTCCAGAAACGAGCGCTTCCTCGTTAACGTCTCCAAGACAGGTGTTGTCGTTATTCTAATGTCACTCATCGCAGCTTTGTTTCATTGCGGTTTGCTGCTACTGCCCAGACTGCTCTTTCAAAGAAAAAAAAAAAAAACATTTATGACAAACGTTGTATGGGGTGTGTTGAAGGTATGACGGCACTCGTGCCTCGCTGACTGGTTTCTTTATGAATCGATACCTTTTCCTGCCAAAACTTAACTGAGTATGGCTGTACATTCGTGTTCCTTTTCCACGCCACTGTGAACGGACAGTGCTGTGTTCTGGAACGTTAATTTATGGGGCATTTAAAACTGATGAAGAATTCATAATGAAAGCCTAACGATTTCTCACATGAATATTCATGTTTTTTTTTTCTAATGAATACCATCAGTAATAGTATCTTGATTTAAAAAAAATACACAACGTTAATTGAGATGACGGTGAAATTTTAATGTGTAATCTCTTGAATTTTATTGAGTCGGAATTTGATCAATGCAAATTACAAGTGTTTCGGATAAATTATATCCTTCCAAAATCAGAGAAAGTTTACAGGGTCTAAATCTACAACATGCTTTACAACGTTAAGTTCTACATATGAAACTTGTTGATTCAGTCTTTTTGTCCAATGCAGGGTTTGCATCCAAAACAGCGTACCTATTGCTATACATAAAATGCTGTCTCTACAAAGAGCTCATTGTCATCGTTCACTTTCGTCATGTACATCGGAACAAAGTTGGTAATGATGAGAGTGATTCTGTCCGACCTTCTGGTGCTGCCAAACCGCCGTAAGTTTTCAGATATCGTTGGAAATTGCGCCAGGGCGTATAAACGAACAATAAAACTCAGAGACTCTAACCAAAGGAGAGTAATAGATCAAAATCGACTTGAATTTCAGTCAGAATTTCGTCAGATATGAGAATGCACAGTAAGGTCCATTTACTGAGCTAATAGAAAGTTGTCCAATCGTATCGGATTTGACGGAAGCTCAATGCGAACAAGCAAAAGAACTAGAATGGAGTTTCTTCTCATTGTTTAAATGTTGGATAAACGACTGTGCAAGGTCTGTAAGGTTTTTAGATAGCGTGGTACTCGAAGTACACTTAGTGCCCTTATCGGACGAATGCGCGCGCATCTATAGTAGATAGAAAGTGACACCGTACTATAGATATCTACGAACTTATTGGTTTTACAAAATATAGATAGATAGCGCCATGCAGGGTGATAGCAAATATTTGGAAATTATCAACAGTTTAATGTTCATTAAACTAGTGGAAGATACATTAATCGTCGTCATAAAAAGCGGGTTTACGATCGCATTTCTTTAATGCCCAGTGACTTATTTCAAAGTGAGAAAAGACTCCTGGTGCACCTTTGCTCTGCGTGATAGTTTGTTTGAATAGGAAATGAAAATAGGTACCCTTAGAGACAGAGACAAACGTCCTGCAAAAATGTATAAATTTAAAAATCTATTACCCACATTGCTTTTATGTTTTGGATGCTTGCTATTGTGTGGGTCGGATACACCTCTACTGCTTACTGTAAAACGTTCTTGGAACAAATCTGATTAATTTTTCCTTTTCACATGTTGAAGTTAACCTTATCATCTATGGAACTTATTTTGCCTATACTAATTAGTTGAACATTAACAAGCAACCACCGTCAATTACAGAATTTTAATGGTGTCCTGAACCCCGTTCTCTACAATTGTAAGGAGTTATTGATCGATTCCTTTTAAAACCAGGGAATAGTCTCCATTTGGTAGCATCGTGTCGAACAGGTCACGTAATTTTGCGTATATTGGACTAAATTGCCCTCCTTCAGAAAATGATGAATTTTGCAGTACTTTTCCTATCTTTGATGTACATTTACATCTCAGCTGATATGAACAGACGAAACTATATTCACCATCATTTTTTCGTCCTTCAAGATGCATACAAACAAGAAAAACATCATAAATATATTTCTATACGTACATACGCTGTACATTTTTTTAGTGAATCATAATTAATACTCTAATTTTAAACTAAAAAGTTACTATTTTGACGCTTCGCCGCGTAAACACAATCCGGATGCACTGCGCAGGACATGGATGGCATTGTTTCAAAAAAATACGCTTGGCAAGGTTACCAAGAGCAGCCGAATCAAAAACGTAAAATGAATTTGATATATTGGCCAGCACAGAAAACTATATGGATTGCCTTTCGACAGGCTGAAAGATTTTCACTTGTTTTTTTTTTACAAGGAAATTACATATAATTCTGTGAACCATAGATAATGAATGGCCGCTGCATTCCAGTTAAAACGAACCAAGAGAGATGATAATTATGATTAAACACTGTACACTATAATTCAAAAGAAGGCGAGGTGTTTATTCGTTTGATTTTTGAGGAGGAAATCCTGTTACTTCATCGCGAATTGGCCTTTCCGATAAATCTGTTGAGACGGATTATTATTTATAGCAGGTAGGTGAGGAGGTTCAGTATATATATTTGGCCAGCTTGAATGAAAAAAACTTGAGTTTTTTTCATTAAACAAAGATACACAGATAAGTCGTGGGGGTAATCGATTAATAAAAACTATGGCCGAGGCAGTTGGTGTCGATTCGAAAACTCGGTGGAAGTCGACTGCAGAACAGCTTCTCAATAAAATGCATTTGGAATAATATATTATTTCCTTTGAATATTCTCCAATAGTTTATACAGCATAACTTAGATAATCACATAGTTTAACAGGTATTTGAATGTATAATGATGATACACCCTGCCTGTTGCAGGGATAACGCAATCAAACAAATAAACTACACATTCCCTGAAGTTTTGTCTTCTTTGCCCTGATTTCGTCGTATCGACCAAGTCCAATATAATATCAGTTTCACATTTTACGTATCATACATTAGTGTCATTACCTTTGTATGTCAAAGATGTAAAACATTTACAACACCGAACTTAACCGGAACTACGGTTCGAAACAAGTTTTTCTGAATGATCAGCTCAGGCGGGACGTGACATCCGTTTTTGACACCCATAAGTCAACACTGCCCACAAAGACGCAATATACTAAATAAAAGAAGTATGCAAGGTGGAAATGTTATCCGGTATAGTGCAGCTAGCAGGTAAAATCTTTGGCTCTTTGTCGTTAGGCATTTCTGGAAGAAACTTGCACATGTTTGTAAATGTAGAAGTCTGAACTTCACAAATGTTTGTGGCGTTTATGGAGATAACCGTTGGGCCATCCTCTTTCCAGTAGCATTTAGCAACTCCAGTTGCCTCTCAGACTTACTGTACAGGTGAGGGCTCGAGCGCTTCTCCGAAGTGCGGCCACTTAATCGTCTGAGGAAAGTGCTTGAAAAAGGTACACGTACAATGGGGAAAAACTGGTAAGTAAAAGTAGTCCAGGAAATGTCATGTTTGCGTGTGTATATATGTGTGTGTGTGTGTGTGTGTGTGTGTGTGTGTGTGTGCCTGTGTATACATACGTATGTATATATACATGTACACGTAGCGAATTCATTGAGGGTTGACGTTGCTAGATAATACTCTTTGCCAATGAACTTCTTCTCTTTTGGTTTCAGGACGTGACGAAGTGAAGAGCGACTGTCTTATTTTTTTTTGGTGACTAACAAGACACGAGGATACCCTGTAAGTGAGTCTGTACAATGTGTTCGGACAGCGTTTCAGCAAATCGAATTGTATCTTTATACAATCTATCATGCATTTTGAATAATAAGAATGCTCAGTCTTGCTAATGGCAGTGTAGTATAGCTTGTTTGATACAAGTGGTGCTTATTCCGGGTGGACTAGCAGTTGTACCCTTTAAAGAGGCAAAATTGGAGGGGAAGCAATGCCCTGGCTGATCTATTCTAACCCGGAGGGCAAAACCTCGTTCGACACCAACTCGACAGGTGTACTTCAACGTTTTCGCAAATTGGATTAACGTAGTATCACAGGCGGACTTGGAAAATTGTTTTTTTCCGGAAGTTGCTCATTTCGAGATCATTTAAGGCTACCCGACTGTCGACGCACTATTAAGCACCGTGTGAAGATCATTTCTTCCAAAAAGTAAAACTCAATGACATTCGATTTTCCATAAAGATAAAGTATGTTGGGATGCTGAATAGTTTTGAGTCAATCGTCGCTCTAAAGGCCGCTTCAATGCAGCGCTGCCAGTTCATGAGCTAAAATTTTAAATACAGTTAATCACTGATGAAAAGTGGCGCCTTTCTTTGCTACCGCAGCAGGTACTAAAAACAAATCTTAAACAATAAAATCAAATAGTCAAAGAGAATTACAGACTGATCTGACGTAAGTGTTTGTGATTATCTATTCAGAACAATATTTTTAGAGTGCTAAAAAACTAACCCTCCTTTTTCGCTGCTATCGCTAAAAAATCAAACGTCAAAAATAACATGTTTTCCTTCAAAAACTATTCAAGCAGAGGTTCATGTACGCATGCGTAATGTGCTACTCTCATTTTATAGAAAAAAAAAAATTACGAGATAAACTTCGTATAGACAAGGTGTGTTGAACCTAATCACCCTGTTGTCGATGCAGTTAGTATTATGAGGTATGCACTTAGAATAGAAGTTAATGAATCCGTACAACTTACAAAAAAATTGAATTTGATTTAAGATTATTCAATAATCAACTTAAACTGTTTTTATCGCGTAACGATTCTCAAATTGTTAAAAACCACTATACAATTTATATTACTGATGTAGATTTAGCTGACTGACATTAATAGTGGGAACTACTATTTTTTCAACCTAAGATAACCGTACCGTGGATAGCGACTTGACAGATATGAAATGCTATGGACATATTTGAATATACTGAATTACGTTATTGAGTGATTTATTGCCGAAGTCCTTGCTTTATTTCTGTTTACTAGTACTGATTATCGAGCTACAAATTAACTATAATAGCAAAAATCCCAAATGGAAGTTTACTATATTTGTAGTTTGTGTACAGAACCAATATCCTAATATTGGGAGATTTTGATGCGTATCTTATTGACTCTGTCTACAGTTTGAAGATGATAGATCTAATGGCTGCTTTTCCTCGGGAGCACCGAATAAAAGGCTTAATCTTTGAATATCCCTCGTTGGTGCTTGCTATCGTCGTTTCATACATCGCCTTCGTTACGAAAATAGGCCCTGAGTATATGAAATACCGCAAGCCTTACAATGTACGGAATTATGCACGAATCTTTAACGTATTTCAGGTAAAGATAATACATACATCAAGATAACACTTAATAGAAATTGCGTCGTTAACTTCACTAGTAATTAACCATTATTCAAAATCGTCTTGCAGCTGCTGTTTTTAGCACCTTATTTCTCTCAGTACTATAGCTTAGATTAATGTTATCAATATAATTACTATAAAGGTATTACTGGAGAGAGGTATTACTAAGAGTAGTACTAACTTTTGTCTTGATTAGTATGCTTGTCGCAGCAAATGGTATGTGTGAACTTAAACTTCCGCTAATTTGATCTATTTTTTTTACAGATCGCGGCTAATGTATGGTATACATACAACGCGATAATGATTACTTACCGTTACTGGGGTACTGGCCGATTTAATGTCTTTTGCACTCCGCCTACAACAGAGCAACCAGATCTTGACATCCCTGGCGATACTGAGTACTTTGCATTCTTCTCCGTGGTTTACTTTTATGTGCGTATAATAGATCTACTCGACACCGTAATGTTTGTCCTATCTAAGAAGTTATCCCATGTCACGTTTCTGCACGTCTACCATCACGTCATCGTCATAACGACAGGTGAGCCTCACTGATTAACTCGGGTTTACGCGGCTGGAAGGAAAATGCTAACCAATGAGAGATTTGCCAGAAAAGGAAAGGTGCAGGATGTTTATAAATTTAATACATACAGCCATGAACATATCCAGATATTTTCGAAAAATTGTCCACGGGCCTTTGTGAACAGGAGGCTCTATAGCGATACTGGATCTCTTTTGTCACACTGTTGCCTCCAAAGGGTTTATAGAAGCAAGTCGCTCGTTTAGCTCTGTTGGTGCTACAAAGAATTCTCCCATAGCCAGAAAGAGAAATTGTATACATGGATACTAAAATAGTTGAGGTACGCCTATTTCAGTTTCACTGTGTTTACTTAAGCCGGCCAAATACATCGGGGGTTTCTACAGCACCAAAAATTATATAAACCTTTTTGAATTAATCTATATTTCAAATATGCCTATTCCTTCGATTAGAGGACATTCACATATAGATATCAACAGGTTACTAATTGGATGTTCTTAAAGGTTGATTTGCGGTACATATTTATCAGAATCATACAAATGGAAACGCAGTTTACAGCCAAGCGAGACTGCGCAGTCGGTAGCGCCCTGTGTGCGGTGTATGGGTACGATGGTAGCGTGGGTTCATTTTGCTCTAAAGGCCAATTGAATTTTTTTTGGAAAGAAAAATCGCAGTGATTTGTCTTAGTTCACATATTACGGTAGAGGCGGAAGCTGTTATCCTGCGCAAAGAGTGACGACCTTTAAGCATGAAGCAACACTTGTACAGAAGTAGGAAGAAGACGCGGGAAACGATGGCAACTGTAACCATAGCAACAAACTTTGCCACACATTTTTTTAACGTCTCTAGGTTAGTACGAGGCGCAAGGCACACACCTCACCGATGCAACACATCAGATAGTCGGCAACAGATAGGAATTAGCTTGGCATATAATACACTGGGGCTGATACCTCTCAATGCAAACCTGTTCTTGGTAGGTTTCAGCGGAAGACTAAAGCGAGTCCAATTGTATCGTAGGCCCCCTCCTAAATGAAACCCCGTAGTGCTACTTCGTAGTTCGAATTGACGGTGATTCGATATCTAGGGAGTTAGAGTCTGAAAGTCAGCGGAAAAAACAAATATCGAGTAAGCAAGGGATCGAATGCTTTATATAAGGTGCGCTAAATGGGCTAGATGTTCTTCAGTCATTAGCAGGCCTTCTAGGACTAAATGTATACAAAAGGTTCAACCGATGGATCAGGAATCTCTACTGCAGAAGAGGATAGAAAAAGGAATAACAACTCACCAGTACTGAAGCGGTGAGCTTGTGGTGCGGAGAACAGGATAGAAATTGGAGTTGCGACGCGTGTGAAAGTCGTTTAGCGATCATTTATTTTGTTGATCAGCATTTTATTAAAATGCTATTTTATTAAAAAAAAATCCAAGAAAAAAAAAGGATTTTTTACAATGTGGACTTTTTCCCTAATGGTTATTACTATTATTGAACCGCTAATTATATTTGCAGAGTTTACAGTTTATTGCATTATTATTTAAACTTACGTGTCGGTGCTCTTTTCTATAAGCGTTTATGGTTATAATGTGGGTTTACAGTTAGGAAACAAACAAATTACGGTTGAAGTAACCTCTGTTGTAAATGTAAACATATTTTTCTTTCCAGAAGCTTATTTTTCCTAGCTTTAGACCCGCATTTCGTCGAACATAAACTGTCCCTGTATGGTGGTCCGTCACACGTTTTTCAAGAATTTTCAAACTCAAGCAAAGGTTAAATAAATTTGTGAAGGGTTACTTCTCGACCAAGTCAAGGTGTATCTGCTACTAAAGGTTACTAGCATTAATTAATAGCATTTTTCATGTAAAGTATAGCTTAAATATCGTTCGGTCAATGATCGCTCTAGTTTAAAATTTTATAAGTTTTCCAAAAAGTTTAAGTTTTTTTATTTATTCAAATTTTGTGTATTTTCGTCATGCTCAAACTTACGAAACATGTCCAGTCCCCAGAAAGCGATGTGAGAAGATTATTTTAAAAAATCTATGAATCTCAGATACTTGTTAAAGATTTTTTGTTTACTCTTACCCGAATGATTAGCTTACAAAATTAAGTACCGTCAAGATCTCAAAGAATTTTATTACTTGGCTGCACAGGGCAAATGCGCCGCAAGGTGCATAAGGAAATTCTGTCTTTTACCTCATTACTTCAAAATAAACTTAAATGACCGATTCTTTAAGCAAAAACGAATTTTAAAATAAACAGGTTGAACAGAAAGAGACAAATACTGCTGGTATAAAGTAAATTACTTTTGCAATATATGATAACTGTAATCACTACTAAAGCAGTTTCCTACGAAACTTTTTTTTCTTTAAGATCTACGAAGGTCTTATTATTGCATCGTCAAAAAACCCTTGGCTAGCTAAGCTACGTATAACGATTTCACATACAGTTACACAGTAACGATATGACCGTTTACTATTCTGGCGGTACAAATTTCACATTACGTATTGTCTGCAATATTAAAGTCATTTCAGAATAGAACATTTGTTACAAAATTCTTCAAAATAAGCTTTACACACCAAGGGCATCTCCCATCATATACTTCTAATTGAACATGTTAAAAACATCGTACCCACATTAAGCCGTATAAGTGGGCTTCTTCAAAAGACGCTTTGCCAAAACGTGTCCAGCTTCGCTATGTGAAACTAGGCTCCTACAGCCAGTTACAACAGCCACACATAAATAAGATTTACGATTGAGGACAAGTATTCGTTCGTTTACAATTAGGGCATGTGCGAACGCCCCGTTTCGGTTTCTAAACACGGAGCACGTAAACCAAACATAACTGTAAGGGCACAGACGCTTCTAAGCCAAGTACACTGTCTTTTTGCAGCGTACGTCTTCTTGCGATCAGGTTGGGCAAACACCATATTCTACATCTCGATATTTAACGCTATCGTCCACATCGTGATGTACACGTACTACTTTATGGCAACGTTCCCCGAAATGAGGCCTTACCTTTGGTGGAAACGCTTCCTCACAGCGTTGCAGATAATTCAGTTTATCTTCATGGTCGTTCATATGTTTATCGTGGTCACTTTCAACTTCTGCGGCCTGCCGTCAATCGTCCTGTACTATAACGCCGCACAAAGTGGCCTATTTATTTTCTTGTTTAGCCGCTTCTATCGAGAGAGTTACTCTGGCACTTCCAAGATTTCGACCGAAAATAAGTAATCTCAAAAACTCGTAGACCTCAAGCTGCAGACCACAAGAAAGCACACTGGAAGCATGGACAAAATTAACATACAATATCGACAATGATACTTAACATACGTTTGATCTTGTAATGATGATGTAATAACGCCTCTGGTACAGAAGCAGAGGGTAGAAAAAGGCGCGGATATTGATTAACTTAGACCTTTTTAATTTCTCTAAGTTTTGTTTCTAACTAGGAATAATTTTCTGCATTGCTATTTTTTGTTTTGTTTAAATTTAAACTCCCTTTTACCTTTCCCACCCTGTTTATTGTTTATAATAACTTCTGTAATTTCCCAAAAAATTTTTTCGAATACATTTTTATCGAAGCTTCAGTGCCGTAAATTGAGACAGTGTCATGCAACAGCAGTTTAACCGACGCTAATGCTACCTCGTCCGAGTAGAGGCCCTAATCATCATCTATATATACGCAATAGAGTTCGGTCAAAGTAAGCTTTTCCTCAATTGAACCCTGAAACAGCTCTAATATGCGTCTCGTAATTACCAAACGAAGAGATTTATGTTAAAATGAAAAAACGACCCTCACTAAAAGGTCGACTATTTTCGTTTAGTCTAAAATTAGATAACTTCAAAAGTGCGATATTTGTCAAAACCAAGAGCGCAGACATCTTCTCGTCAGTTTGGCACTGGAGAAACGCTTATTTTGTTTACTGTTTTTTTATTGGCTGTGTTGGCTCTAGTAACTTTTCAAAAACGTTAATATACTAATAAGGGCATAGAGCGAAACAGCCGACTAGTGCCAAAAAATGGCCAAATAATAATAAGAATATGTATACATCGATTATGATTTTAGTACACCTCATCTAACTCTATTTGTATAGCACAGTAATTCTATTCATATGTAAAAATTCATCGATGGTCATCACTTATATTTGCTGCTTGACAGTTCTATACACACATTTCTTATACAACGGATTCTTTTACAAGTCAGACCGGCACAAATCGGCTTTGACATTGGATAACTAGTAACCAATAGACGCGCCACGTACACATGTATGATACGTGGTAGGCGTATTTCGACACATTATTAAGACACGTCGATAGATGTACATAGGCTTCAATCATGGCCCTATCGGTGTCCACTGCAAACAGTCACACAATGTTTTTTCGACAACATCTAAAAGCAGGTCTAAGAAATGTAGTCGCTTATGTTGTCTGTACCGTTGGACATATCTAAGGTCCTCGAAGTGATTCGATGCTCAAAAAATTCATCTGTAAAAAATAAAGTCTGTAAAATCATTATTTGTATAGTTCTGTTCATAACGTTGACATGTATAGGACGAATCATCTATTAGAATACTCACGAAGGAAGTGTCGGTCTATCTAAGGAATGATAACACTTCCTGAGGGCAGGTCCACGAATTCGTGGATATTTTTTAATATATTATTTATTAGCGAGACGGCCCGCACCGACGACGACGATCAAAAGCTCTAATAGTCAACCTGACTTATTTTTGTTTCTATAACTGGTACTGCCTATAAGCGCTAGGCGTCTGTACCTGTTAAATGAAACAGATGGCAGCACGGTTTAGATCATGAATGGTACACACTACCAGCAAAATATGGACTGCATAAGTATTTCAGGCAGGCCGAACAAATAGGCACAGGAATGGCCACACGGTAATGGCGTATGCTGATGCCGATTAATTGTTATTAACCAATACAGAATTTTATACGTTTTTCTTCCTAGCATCAACTGTGAAGTAACTTTTGCGTTGTCGCTTGTCCGATCGCGATAATTTCCTTTAGAAATGGCATACTTGATGACAGGTGTGACGACGTTAGATTATCTAGCCGATAGGGTCAAAGCGCGATAGTGCTCTAAACTTGGCATATGATTCGTCTTACCATCTTATAAACTAATATACGCTTGTTTTTATGATAGGAGGATTTGCATTCAATAGCATTTTTTATTTTCAATCAAAAGTACCCTCTATTTTGACTTGAAGTTAAGAAATTATCTTCGGACTCTGGGGCGACTTTGGTGTAGTACGGGCAATTTTGGATAGTCGACCGGTTTTTCATTAAAAGCAGTTTTCCCAAATGAAAAATCTGGGATTGCTTAAAATGAGCTTTAGCCGTCGAGATTGTCACAAACAATATATTTTAAGCCACCAGGTACATCTATAACATCTCTACGCCGATTTTTAGTGGGCTTGCTTACGGCAAAACTAGGTACCGCTGTATAACATTGCCTCAAGGATTTTTAGGACACAATGATTCAGTATCAGCTATCTTGAAAACCGAACTTAATTTGCGATTGCTATATTAATTGTCGTTCCTATTGCTCTGATTTTGTTTAACGAATTTTGACCTGTGGACAGCAAATAGGTAGGCGGGTGTGTGTGACGCTACAAGCCCAAATATCGTCCTCTAGCCAACGTTTGTCCAACGCATTAGCTATACGTCGCGAACGCTACAGTTAAGTTGTACCGGTTATAACTTCAATTTTAACGTTTTCTTCAAAATTTAAATTGAAAAATTCATGACGATAACCGTGTGCAAAGAACTTGAGAGACTATTGGGGTGACTTTTACTTCTAGCCAAATCTTGAAATCGAAATAAAAGCCACTCTATGAAGGCTAGCTTAGATTTCAGAGTTTTTAAGACAGCTGTTTGTTTCTAAATGCACGATTTCCCTCAGACGCGTATTTAAGGCCTAAAGTTCAGTTTTGACCTTCTTCTGCTAGATTGCGACATGTCTTGCTTGCTGGGTACAGTCTTACTTGTTTGCTTTAGATCTGTAGCAGAAATCAAAGCGGTCGAATATAGCATAGGTCGCCGATGAAAAAAGCAATAAGTATAAATGACGGGCGGTAATTTTGGCAAAAGAGAACTAAACAGATAATTTACTCACGGTCCTATCAGGCGGTTGTTTATAATGTAGAGTATTTTAAAACCGTACTTGTTTATTTATCTAACTTTTAGGTCCAGCGGGTTGATCGTAGATAATATGGGAATGCTAGTTACAACCGTCACTACGACGAAATGTGGAAAATTAGAAAGCTTTCGATTACTCTATATAATTTTGTTTATGGTGTTACCTTTTTATCAATACGTTTATTAGTGACTGGAATTGTTTTGTACATTTGCATGTTTTTGTTACTTGACATTTGTTTGCCGACAATTGCGAACCGTCAAACCTCAAATCAAACGTAGAGTTTTACCCATCGTACGCGACCCACTCAAGAAGATCGGTTAAAAACAATGGGCTCGACCTACAACTTCAGGTTATTAGAGGCCTAACATTCTGAGTTTCCAGTAGAGCTAAAAGTAGAAAAAGGCTTCGAATAAGCCAATAATGTTGGAGACACAAATGTGCACAACCCGTAGCTACAAAGTAAAGCGCGCACCTCACACCTCCCGTGTCCTTAAGGTTTCAAGAACCGGAAATTATGAGGCATTCCTGCCCGAACATTGATTGATGAAATCTTTATTGTATGATATTGGTTGTGATTATGTATATTGAAGCATTACGAAGTTATACTGTTAATCAACTTTTGCAAAAGTAGTTTATCTAAAGGCATGATTCGTATAAAATTAAGACATATATGTATGCGTCGATTGCACTGCTTCAAGATCCCCGCGGGACTTTATATATCTAGGGCTCAGATTATTGGTTTCGACAACCGAATTATTAAGAAGCTTATACATGCCTAATCAAATAAATTCAAATAAGTGCTAAATAAATTTTACATCCTTTAAACGTGCGACTGATCTTCAGCAGCGTGCAATGAAGTATAGTTACGCCCGGCCTCGAATCTAGATCATATCTTCATATAGACTGGAGCTTCGAAGACAACCACATTAATAATTTACTATCACAAGATTCAAACATACGCAGTAATATAAACCTAAATAAATATCTTGAGCTTTACGCCTAGTTTTCTTACCTACAGCTCTCTATATTGAAGTAAAGCATTCCTTCAGACGAGTGGATTGTTTCAAGCAGCACGAAACGAGTTGTGTTTACATCTGATTTCGAACATCTACATTTCGAGTTTTTACGTCAGGTATCGCCGTTACAAGCCTCTACCTTGGACTACCTAATGTATCCCCAAAATAGAAAAGCAAATACGTTATCTCTAAACCGATGCGGGGACAGCGATTGATCAAGTCTATATAAGTTCAATAGGCCAGAGCCCGTTAACTCGTTGGCCAATTCCGCTCGGGCCCTTTAAAGCTGATGTTAACCATTGTCGCTCCTATAAAATAATTATGCTTAAAGTGCACGTTCGTCACTGTCACTTTGACGACGTATTGAAATTATAGTAAGATGCCGACGAAAGGTGTATTCAGAGTTAAATAAACTGAACTCTATTTTTAAGAAACTTTCATAGGACCTCTCTTATCCGCTCCCAGTTTGGTAAGAAGTAAGTGGTTTTGCTGTTCAAGCAGACTGAAGCTTGAAGAGCGCACTTTTTTTCCAATGGTAAATTTTCTATTTTTTTTAAAAGGGTTTGAGTAATACTTTTAAATACTGACGAGACGCTCCCGGACCAATACTATGTTATGTGGGTCGAATCCCAGACTTGGCCCGCGCAGCTAGGTTTATACTTGCCAGAAAAATGACCACAACCTTTCTTAATACAAACAATAGTCCTTAATCCCCCTCCTAGACTTCGTTCGGAATTGGTTGAGATCCTTATTTAATTAGAATTACGATCCTAACTGTAAATTTATTTTTCCACAACTTATACAGCTAAGTCCTACCTTACTCTACGCCTATTTTCAAATCGCTTTCTTAAGCGTCCCGTGTATAATTACGCTAGTAGTATCATCATAACGGGAAAATTTGAATAGCCATATATTTCTTACTGTATACCCCAGCAATATTTTTCATTAAATCATGATATACAATGCTGCAGAGCCAGCTCGGAATCGTAATAAAAAATACCAGCAAGGTTACCCAGATGTCGACCCACAATCGTGTCCGACACGTTTCTAAAGTAGAAACACCTTTTGTTTACAGCCTACGTCTTCATGCGGTCAGGCTGGGGGCACATCTTGTTCTACATGTCACTTTTGAACTCAGTCATCCACATCGTGATGTACACTTACTACTTTCTGGCGACGTTCACCGAGATGAGGCCTTACCTTTGGTGGAAACGCTACCTGACGGCGGCACAAATTTGTCAGTTTATACTAATGGCCCTTCATATGTTCATAGTCGTCGCTTTCAACGTGTGTGGCCTACCTTCTATCGTGTTGCAATATAACATAGCGCAGATCTTCATTATGATTGCGTTGTTTAGTCAATTTTATATGAGGAACTACGGTACAGACGAAAAGTCATCAGCTGGAAAGCGACCAACAAACCTAGTATGGAACGTCAGCGATGCAGGACGATGAGGTTCGGAACTAGAATACTGGAAAGATTAATAATCGTTGCGATTGATTTAGCTCATTGGCGCTACCAACAGTATGCATCATATCATGTGATGACATCATATACAATATGACCTTGCTGTGACGGTCACCATCCAATAAAAGTAAACTCCTACTCAGGTAACATGTAAAATGCAGAAGTTAGGAAAAAGGACATTTTTATTTAAAAATAAAAAATGCATTTTTCAAATACCGTCAGTTTATTTTTTCTAAACGTGAAAACAAATAATTGTTATTAAATCGAGAGCTGTGCTTAACTTTCCATTGTAAAAATAGTTTTGCTTGCTTATTGAATGTCTTATTTAATTTAAAAGCTGCGTTGACGCTGAAACTTCAAATAACGTCCGATAACACGTATCTATTATTATTTGTTTTTAGCGGGTCGTGTCTCCTGGAGACAACACGTACATGGCTCACAATTACAAATATCTTTTCACAAATCTTAGCAAGTACACTACTTCACCGTCCATCTTGGCGTCACTCGGAATGTTCAGGGTTGTTGATCTTGAAATGCTAAAATCCGTGTAATGGCTAGACAATAGCCTAGTGCCACCATTATTAAATTTAAGTGTGTATTTTGCAACAGCCTTTACTATCTCAGGTAAGCTAATTTGAATATTCCGGCTTAATAAGGTGGTTTTGCTAAGGCCATCCTTCAGAAATGGGCGGAAGAAGCCGTAAGGGCGGGTACAACCTGAAATTAGAAACTGGTGTCCACATAGCTGAAGCACTATAAGTTTCAACATAGATGCGCCTTTTCCTAGCAAGAAAACCTACGATATTAAAAGCACGAAGGAGAATTATGAACTCAAATAGCGCACCTAGCTCATAGTGTATCAATATAAAAGGACGACAACAATAATTATTTCAGATTCAGTCCATGGAAAAGTTTGCGATTAAAGGAAACATCATCTAAGACCTGCCAAACGACGAGCTGAAGTTACAATACTGCTACTACTATTATTAGTACCTTTGGCTATTTCAAGATACGTGTTGAACACGTACCTTTTACTGTACTGGACAGACTTTTCCGCACCGTAGCATAACAGTACGCCAAGCCACAGTACGACTCATAAATGCCACAATATCAGTTCATTAACTGAACATCCATAGAAGAAATTTGCAGACTTCTCTAAGCCAATAAAAACACCGTTTTTTTTACAGTTTATCTCTTCATGCGGTCCGGTTGGGGGCACACGTTGTTCTACCTCTCGATATTGAATGCTATAGCTCACAGCGTGATGTGCACGTACTCTTTCCTGTCAACGTTCCCTCAAATGAAGCCCCTTCTTTCGTGGAAACGTTATCTTACGACGATGCAGATCGGTCAATTTATTATTATGATTCTTTACATGATCACCATCGCGCCAATCAGATGTGGTATCTCGCCTTTGATTTGGTACTATACTTTAGGACACTTTGTATTGTTTATCTTCCTGTTCGGCCGCTACTATGGAAAACATTACCAAGGGGCTACGAAAGCGCTGGTGACAATGTTACCGCCTCCGCCCGCTCTTATACTGAATGCCAGCGGTACGGCACTGCGAGGTCCGCAGGATTACTGGGTAATTAAGGAAAATTAAAAACGATGATTAAAAAAAGTTGATAAACAAACTAACCTTGTAATACAGCTTAAGAGAGTTAATAGAGCTTGCCAATAAATGTAACTGTACTAATATATACGTTTCGTTTAATTTAAACTATAAAATCCTAGGTATGATCATAAATAATCGTCGTTTTTGTCTATGGTTGCTATTCTTCGTTCCGTTAAAAATACAATGGTGTCCGTTGCTGAAAACCTTTCTTTTGTATAGGTTACAAATTTTTATCTTCGGTTCAGACTCTAGAAAATAGCACCTTAATGATTCATGGTCGTCTTTCATCGGGGTAAAACGCTGTTCAATATGAAAATGGTTTGCCCAGTGCAACTGCTTCGCTTTAAATTACAGCCGTACTCTATTCGACATCTCGGAGTTGGCAAGGATTGTTGTCAGCGTCTTTCAATGAAAGCCCTTTAACATTTTTATATGACATAACATAGTTTTTACCTATGGAATATCGAGTGCGAGATTAATTATTTGGGCTAATTCTGTAGCGTTTCAGCAACACCTGGAAGCCGCCGCTACGAAATAATTTTTCCTTTGTCCGATATAGATTCATTTTGATGTCTGAGCCCAAATTGAGAGCTTTTGGAACGAAAGAAAAAGTTTTCTAAGGCATGTAATACTTGTAAACAAAAGATCAGAACAAAAGCAAATAACAATGGTCATTACATTGCTTCAGAGTACAGTAAAATTACTCCCTGTTATTATGCATTCCGGGCGGATAGTTGAGAAAGAAGTAAATCCGGAGTTGGGAAGAAAATTAGCTATGCAGTGGAAGCAGCACCTGTTTCAAATAGCAAAAGCTATCTTCTTCTGAGTAGAAGTCTATTTTTTTTTTGTATCCGAAGACCTATCCCATTCTGCATCGAATGACTCTCTTTTTCTTTCGCTTGCAACAGACTCGTGTACTTCATCCGCAGAACCCTTTTTATCTTATTTTTAATATCGAATTCATATGACGTAATGCAAGGATTTAGGCCTCACTGATGAAATCTATAATGACGCAGTACAGTAAATCGCTTGTGGACCTTTCAGCCATCTTGCCGACCGTTCAAGCACCTCGGTGCTGAGACGTTAGCTGATTTAAGAGAAACAAGTGATTTACACAGATCTGAGCTCGGATCCATATTAGCCCATATGGATGTACGTGATGCATCGTTCTATATAGGATGAGCTTGGCTAAGATGATGCAGCAAATGTCATAGAATACAAAAAATAATCATCGCTGTCAAGGAAAATCTCTATACTGTCTAAGCTTCGATACTGAATTACGTACTTATAGTTACAATAACTGTTACTCTATCGAGGCAAGGATTTGAGTATCGCCAACCGGAGCGTAACTATATGTGTTCGAATCGAACAAAGGACTACTGGAAAGCATTAATTTTAAGAGTTCTATGAAATAAAGTCGTAGAATGCTTTTCACTATTCATTTGTTGTCCGCAGCGACTATAGCTGGAATAATAGAATCAACGTTTGATGTTGGTTCTGCTCATTTGAAATTTTTTTTTACACATATACGTGCTGTCGAAATTCAGACAAATATTCATATTTAATCTAGTCCTTTTATGTCTCAACTCGTACAAAAAACTGAACTATTATAGCCAACGCTAATGAGCCATTTAGTAATAATATGTAGGGAACTGTAGGAATACTATTGTTTTGCGATACAATGCCAACCATGCGGCCTGGAAAACACAAGCTCACATACCAGAACTATGGTGCTACATGCTACGCCTATCGTTTCCGTGCCAAGTAAACTTCTTAGTACCTCTCACAGTATGTATCTTGCTGGTCCTACCTTTCCAGCTCGCAGCTGTTGCCAATGACAAGGCCTTCCTTTGTTGTACTTCGAGGTGTAGCTACTTCAAAACTTTCTAGGCCATCACGTCATCACTCCGTCTACATATTTAGTCACTCCAGGAATCAAGCATTGTACGCGATGTTAAGGTATCACAGTGTCCACCGGTGAGAAATGGCGGCGGCGGCGGCGGCGCCGGCGCCGCCGTCTTCGTCTGCTGCAGATATACATTTTGCCTTAGCCAAACTCTCAAGTTGGCTCCTTTTCGCCATTGGCTTATGCCGCCGCACCACATCTAACAACAACAACAACAACCAGTCTGTCCCACAACGCTATAACGCATCACATCCGGGTCCAAGTTCCTAATATGAGTCTTTACCAGAATGACACAAAAACAGGTGAGAGCTTCGAAGGGAATCGAAGTCAAGTAGCGAAAGCAAAAGCGAAAAGAGATAAGGAAATTAGTTGAAAACGAGGAAAACGGGAGCTAGGGTGCGGGAAAGAGAAGTTGGTCAACATGTATAATGGTCAAGCAGGTCGTTGTACGGTTTTCTAAAAACAGTTACCAGTTACAGGGGTTCAGATGAAACGAGGTCCAAAGAGGGGATCTGGTTTTTAGCCAACAAGATTTTTCATTATGATAGCTTAGCGGGTAACGTATTTGCGGACGTAAAACTTGAGACGTAGAGGATCTTTATTGTATTTAATAGCATGATACATGGAGGGTAGCTTAAGGGTAGTCGGTTGTACCAACTCCTCTTGGCTAAGTTAAATACGATAAGATCAGAGACTCAACATGAGCCCCAAAATGAGAGTGGTCCCTTGAATTTGGACATCACTGCGGATGGCCTGTGACGGATTGCTAAGCAGAGCAGGTTGTTGTCAGGCGGTTTTCGGTCGTTCCTGCCGTGTTTGTCCGGCAAAATATTTTGCTTCGCATCGCTGGTGTTTAGACATCTGCTGATGGTTCTTCGCTTCCACCTCTGTCACAAAGCGGCCGATTCGGTCGCCACTTTCTGCTTTGCGACGAAGCTCTTGCTACTTTTTTTAGTGGAGGATTCGTTCAGCCCCAGCCGATCTCTCCCGTGCTTCGTTTAGCTATTCACTTCGATTAGCATTTTGCTCGGCTTACGTATGTATGTGGGCTGGTCAGCGTCATCTGGTAGCGGTATAGGTTCCGATGGGACCTAGGAGATGGTGGTTTTATTTTAGCTTGGCTTTCTATTGAGCATGCGGCTGCTTACGGGACCTATTCATAACAACACGTATCGGCGCATTCGTTTCGTCTTTGGCGATGAGAGTTAATATATTCCTACTACATATGTTCAAGACAACGTCACAAGTGCAGTGCGGTCAGTGTTTAGCAGTCTAAATAATTAGTGGGAACTCCAAGTGACCCTGTTCGCCGCCCTTGAGAGATAGTATAGCTTGATTATCAGATTTGTAAGCTAATTTTTAACAATGTCAACTCCTCTATGATAATGGTTTGATAATAGTGTTATTTCATCCATGATAACGTTTTAAGAAGACCAAGTACGATGATCCAATGCTTAATTAGTGGGAAGAAAATTACCAGATTTAGCGATTACTTGTTTGATAGACTCGCGAACTCAGTCAGTAGCAGTGCAGTGGTGGAATCCTTGATCAGGATAGTTGATCTGTAAAGAATAATTGGAATAACACTTGTCGTGAATTACATGGGTATTAAAGCTTCTGGGACATAACTTTATTTTTTAAGACACAGTTCAACCGGTTCTTAAAAAGCTAAAGTTCTTCTCCTGTTTCGATTTTTATTTTGGCTACGAGTTCATACGGTTTAATATGAACCAGCAATCGTAGATGTTACAAATATGGATAGCCAAATGTATGTTGTTGTAAAGCTCGGTATACGTTCAACACATCAAGTTCAGTAAATAATATACAAATAAGGTCCTCTGATTAAGTGCGTTTCCATGGCAACCACTAACTACAAGCATATTAGGGGGTGACTCAAACCCCTGCTTCAGTAAAAGATTATAAAGGATATATGTAAAAAAAAAAGTTTAAGTATTAATAGTTATAATTGATGTGGTTACCGTGCAGTCTGACAGTGCAGTTGGAGAAATCGCTGGAGGATCGCAGTTGGAGAAAAGTTCACCAAGGGTTCTTCTACCAGATCTGACGCAATACCGAAAATTGATTTTTAACACTTTCCTACGGAAAAATAGGTGAGGGTCAGCTCGAATCACACATAGATATACGTACATTTTTGGAAAAAGCGACTCTTCTACATACGGAGAAAACGAAGCCAACAGAGGCAAGTTGAGTTCATTCTTGTTTAGTTCCCTTTGTCGCTCTCAGTCGATCTTTGGATAAAAGAAACTTTACGAACTTGCGATCCAACTCGAAGCTGACGTTTTCCCTGAATCTACTCCTTTCCATTGAAGACTGTCGTTGTGTCCTCTTGTCGCTGATGTTGTTGTTATTGTCGACGTTTTCGTTTGCTGCAGTGTGCTCAAGTGCTCTCTGGCTAACGGTCCTTTGTTCGCAATCGTTGTTCCACTATTCGGCAATTGCATCCCTATGGCTTGATTCCATCTATTCAGTGTTTGGCAGCGCGTTCTGCACATCCCACCTTTTGTTCGATGCATTCCCTTGAATAGTCCTCTATAAAAGGCGCCGTTCAGCCCAGCCCCCTCTGGTAGGATAAATAGTAGCACTCTAGGTCTTTATGGTCCTTCCTTTTGGCGGGCGGCTGCAAGACTGACCGTCGCATAGTTGCAAGTTGTCTTTTCTCTATTCTCCTCTTTAGGTCAAGGCAGCCGCAAATTGACCACTGCCACCCCAGCCATCGCCAGAACCATTGCTTTCTAGCTAAGACCTGGAAGGCTGTTTCGCTACTGTTCTCGGCGCAACAATGGGACAATCGCAGCGCAGGAGAGTTAATGGGGTTGGTCAACTAACTAACGCTGGTATACTGCCGACGCAAACAGGGCTAATACCCCTGAAAGCTAAACATGGTCTCCCGGGTTGGCCGGATACACACCTTGCCACGAACGAAGTCCAACACTACTGTATGAACAGCGACCAGTCCGCTATTCACACAGCAGGACCATGTAGCAAGACTGTAGGTCGGCCTTCTTGTCTCGCTGACATCTTTGGCAAAAGGCCCCTACATGCAAGTGGCTTGCTCTTTTCTTCTGCTTCTTCTTTTGTATCTCTCACCTTTAGAATTCCCTAAAGGAATTTAGGACCCGCCTATACCGGGTACGGCCTGCCGCTTTGGTCGCCACCGATTTGCCTGCGTTCGTTTACGTTTGCGTTCCTGCGAGTGCTTCTGCTACTGGTGGCTTGGCCCACCGAACTTCGACGATCGTCTTTGTCCATCCACAGCCGTCTTATGTCGATTGCCTGGGTCAATTCGTTTCGTTACTCTTTCAGGTGTACGACTCTCGGTACACATCGCCACGCTACCAGCAGCGGGAAAAGCTTTCTAGCAATGACAGCTACCGATGCACAGTGGTTTCAGTCTGTAGAGCAGTACATGGCCACTCGTTGCTTTGGGCCATATTATCCGCCTTCTCTCTCTCTCTCTCTCTCTCGTTGTCCTTTTCTCTATAGCATCGAGCGTGAAACAGTCAGAGCTTCTTAACTCCCAGCGTTTCTCACTTGGCACTTCCAGCCTTGGGGCAAGTCTCGACAGTCCCGACAGATTGGGCCATGGACGAAGGTGTTCAGAAGGTCTCAGGTGGTAAACTCCCTTAAGCGTCGAACAAACCAAGCAACCAGGCCTACGCCTCCGCCAATTGAGCCTCTCGATATTTCTCCTGTTTTTTCTCCTGCTTTCGTGTCCTTTTCCTTCCACAGTGGTAACTATGTACGCAGCTCTCTCAATACAGTTACGACTCCCTTCTCCCTATAATAGTTAAGAGTCAGGCAAGTTATGTAGAAAAGAATTCCGTGAGAGCGGATGGGAATTACCGGCCTTTTGTGAACAGACCTTGTGGTTGCAGAATGGAACGGTTTCTCCAAGGCAGTCGCTAGTTGGCCGTCTCTCTGCTGGCTGTCGAAAGCGTTGGCATAACGGATTTAAGCAGGGGTTACTCTGTTTGCTGGTACGATGCTCCTAGACGGAGAGTGGTCGAGGCGTCTAGGGCTTCCCGTGGCCTCTTTGTTCTTTGTAATTAAAACGCTTTCTAGATAAGGAACACTCGTCTACCGAGTTTACAAGCGTGGCCGGTTGTGAGCGGAAAGTTGCAAGCTGGACAGCAGGCTGGAGATTCGGCTAGAAGTGGCCAGGACCAGACCAAGAGAAGCAGGCCAAGCCAAGCTAAGGGTCCACGAGCCACTCGATGAAAGTGTACATTTCGAAGGCGTACTCCTTGACTAGCCGAAATACAACCAACGAAACAGACAGCTCCGAGATATACTCGTCGCACTCGGCTGTCGTACAAATCTTGGTAGTAGTCGCTTCTCTCCTTTGGTTGTCGCCTTTGCGCCCGGCAGATTTGAACGCCGGCCACGTTGGCCTGGTGAGGGAACTGAATGGGGTTGAATCAAGTCGGTACTTCATTTAACTTAGACCCACGTGAGCCTTATTGTGAGCTAGCAGAGCCATTCGAAGTCTGTAACTGACTTCTTATGTTGAAGTATATTTGTAATTTCATGCCGTAGACCTGTGTGGTCTTGAGACTAGCTTCTCTTCAACTCAACTAGGTAAGTGATAATCATCGAGTTCGATTAGACATATTCCGTCCGCACGGCAATTACCCATCAGAGATAACGTATAAGTAGTCACACTAGGCGGTAGATAGTACTTGGTATTCGATCTAGTTACTTTCGTAGAATGTGCTACATTGAATGAAAATCTCAACTGATCAAATGGCCTCTATGTGGGTTAAAACAAATTCTTAGTAGATTTTCAATTTCGTTATCGACTATTCTGTATAACGCTTGAAGAAAAAATACGAGTATATTTTTTTGCTAAATTATAAATTTCTTTATTTTCTTATAAGTAATTTATATTAAATTTAGAGCATTATATTTTGTTTCAAGAAATCTTTTTGTTATTGTTATTTATCATGCAGTTATTAAGATGTCACACCTTCGGTTGTAGGAAACACTAAAACGCTCGTTCTACAATTTTGACATTACTCCGTTTACAAGCGTGTTCTTGCAGACGTACTTGATGGACAAAGTCTACTGTTTTCTAAGCTACACAGAGTCAACATAGTAAAGAGCTATTTAAATCTAATTAAATTCTATTTGAACCGCTCGAAGATTCTTCCAAACCTATTCTAATATTTCTACAATCGTTTGTTTTTATACATAATTAGGCTGTAATACGTAAATGTTTATTGAACATTGTAATTGCGACAAATAATAGATCAGATATTTATCGCCATATTCGAACACAGTGATTCCTGCAATGTGATTTGTCAATATCGAACGAACCGACTGGAGTGGTTGATAGCTAACCCGCATCTTCAGGAGCTTCACTGGCACTGCTGCAGGTTTCCGCACTGTAGTCTGCAAAATAGTCCGGAAAAGCTTCAACGGCGAGCCGCGTCGAGCAAGAAGACTTCAGTCTACCGTACCCTCGAATTTCCATCAACTGGCATTGGTCTTGATGGTCATCGTAGTAATTCATGGCAAACTTGACCGTTCACATATCGAACCACTTGAGATCTATTCGTGTCGCTTGATTTACACTGGATTGCAAGCGACCATTCGATAGCAGCCTTGCCGCCGGGGACAACATGACACTTTTTCTTCACCAACGCCGAACGTGAGGGTAATTGACGCCCCGGGGCATGTTATCTCACACTACTACGTTTCCTACAAACACCCTAAACTCTCGTTTAGTTCTCATCCAAGCATGTCGGCTTGCTGGGCCTTACCGAGCTGTCTCCATAGAAAAGCGAATATTGTCAAAGGCATTGCCACCAAGAAGCTGAACAAAAATAGAATCTAAAGAGGACACCAGATACACCTGTCGCAAGCGAACCTACTTAACTATACACTATATGCCGACGTAGAAATCCAGGTAGGTTAGGATTCTAAATAGGACAAACAGGAGATATGCTGCGTCATCCGATTGTTTCTCGTGGAAAATGGGGAAGGCTTCGGATGTGCTAGCTGGAATGGCAAATGGTATGGCCTTCATACTCTACCCATTTATATGGGCCGACTTATCTGGGTAGCCACCACTGTGAGGTGAAGAACTCAGCTTTTGTGAGTAAATTTGATGAAAAAAGGAAACCACGACGTAGAATAACTATGAGCAAGTTATTGCGGATCGGCCATTGCTAATTGTGGCCAAAAGCCTTTTTTCGATGATTTCTTCTTATTATATACTGAAACATTGTCTAATGTTATATATAATGCAGCTTATACGTCATAGTGATGGCGAGAAACGCCTATTGTTGGATTAACATCGGCTAGTTTTCTGCTGAACCATTGAAGGGTCCCAGCTGTTAAAAAGTATCTTAAAAAGAAGTTAAAAAGTATCGTATATTCACATCGTATTATTGTCCTTCATGTAATGAATGCCGAACTATATATAGTTTGGCATTTATGGCATCAATAATAACATAATATTAATAGATAATTTGCAGCATAGCGTTAATTAACTTCCCTTATTCATAGCATCCGTATGTAAGATAATATAACCTCCAAAACGTGGCCTGAATGTTTCAATCCAGCCCTGTTGCATAACAACCACTAGAAAGCTATTTGCTAATCGATATTTTTAAGCAACGTTTAAAAATTATTTTGGCGGCAAATCACGTTGGACCCGCTGGCATCGTTGAGTGAAAAGATAAACTTGCAGCGCACACGAGGAGAGGGAGAGAGAGAGAGAGAGGAGAAAGAGAGAGGGGGGAAAAGGAAATCATAATAGAGGTGGAGTCAAGTAAACACAACAGTGACACGTACACAAATAGCGGCCATCGTGCTTAGCAGACGCGATAAGCAGAAAGCTACGACGTTTGTAACATGTATAATCATTACCGTTTGATTATGATTGTCCCAACGCTCCAAATTTGGCTTTAATGTGCATAAAGCTTCGACATTATTCCGTTAATTTTTCTAGACATTGCGGACTTCTTTTTGTCCGCTCGATAGGTCCACATATCAAATCGAATCTACTCGAAGTATATTGAGCTCAGTCTAGTATGCTGTGAGTCATTGACTATATATATATGATAGTAAATGAGATGGTGTAGCGGATTACGGTAATGAAGTGGGTCGTTTTGGACAACCGTTGTAGGCCTGTACGTTATGTTACAATATATGTTGTACTAATAACAGATATGAATATATATATATATGATTTGATTATACATAGCTCACGTATAGTTTTAATAGATTATTTTAATTTTCCCAAAAATAGTAATGTAGCTATTATATCTTTTTCTTTCTATTCACTTCACTCGCTGCATTGAAACACTTTTCTAAAAATATTGAAATGTAAATTAGCGGTCTTCTTAGCTTCGGGATTGTTTTCATGAAGCATGTAAGCAGTCTAATTTAATCCTCTTCCACTACGTCATATCTGATTACTTGGATATGTTAAGACATATATTGGGTAACTGTACTCGTCAAATCAGCAAGGTCCCATTGCTTATATTTGCTGACCTCAATTTCATATCGCATATGAATAGCCAATCGATCTATAAAAATACAAAAGGAAGAAGTAATCAATTTTTAGGTGTTTAGGTTAGACGGCAGACTCCAGATCACGTGTACGTATCAATGCAGCAACATGGCCTGTTTTAAGCTAGAAGGCTAGCTAACTAGACTGTGCTAGGATTAGGATTTCTGGCGTCCTATTACCTAACGGACTTGTCGCACCTCCTGTTCGTTGCAAGAATTTCCAAGTATGAGAGGGCACTCAAATCTTCTTGTCGTACCGTTGGTACCGTTGAAGCGTTACGATGGCTTGAGGAGAAACCGTTTGTGTACCTGAAAACCGCTCGGTAACCTGCATCGTTCAGTTCACATCAACGCCTTCTAGAACAATATTACGCAACGAAACAATAGGACGAAGATGTTCAGGAGACTATGGTCCTTGATGCTATTCAGTGTCGATGGCTCTACACTGAACTCAGAGGTCGGCGATCACTACATGCACGTACATGTGTACACATTGAAAATCAAAGTGCGGAACGCGGTAGGACGTATCGGAAGCCAAAGGAAACACCATACCGTGAATAGCACTCATGACTACTAGATATGAAAGAACGGTAATGCAAAAGTGTCGACAAAAGATCCTTTGCTGATTTAACGACGACAGAGTGTAAAATATTCATTCGCCTTTTCATTGACTGCTCGAAATCGGTAGCAATAATCAGGCGATTAATGGCTGACGATATAATAGAGTGTTAAGCGTTAATCGTGTATGAAAGGGCCTCCCACTATTGTGTCTGTGCGAGTTATGCGAAAACCATTTTAGTTTTCTTTCAATTTTCGACAGCTTAATTGTTTCGAGATCAACGTCTGATGCTGCCTTTGAACGGCTTGCCGTTTCCAGCACACGACCGCTTGTGTCCTCGTGCGCTTTCTAACCCAGGCGACCATATGTTTCGCACCTTAGCGAGCAGGACACGTGGCCGCGGCGTCATGACGGACCTGACATAACGTTATATTGCTAGCGGCGTGACGTTCGCTTTAAATAGCTGGGATTTTGTCTTTGTGTTGCTATTTCTATTACTAGCATAAACCAGCTTAGCGCTCTCTTAGATTAGTCCGCTAGAGTATAAATTCAACTGGTTGGCATTTTTGTTCTTAAGCAGCCTTCTTATACGTTTCTTCGTGATAATGTATTTCATACAGGAGCTTGTCTGTCTCGATTTCACCCCTAGGTGCTCTTATTCGAAATAAGATTTTGTCCACACCTCCCAGCCCCACCATTCATTCTCCTACCTACTTTATTCGTATGCATGTATCTTAAAGGCCCTGTCACCTCTGTGGAACCGTTCACTCAACGGACATAAAAACCCTTCTGGTACCAGATCGGTATTCGACTTGCTGTGAGACAATCTCGACACAGCTCGCCACAATAAGGCATTTGTTGAAAATCGCTTGCCGTTTGTCGCCTTGAGGACCACTCTCGGCGATAATAGGAGGCGGTAAAGTTCCTTTCATTTTGAAACCTACATAGGCACTGCATAACTATAGCTATTTACGATCGATCCGGTGCAAACAAGGGATAGTTACTGCGTTTTATCTCACTCGATAAAGTACAGCCTCACCCCAACGTGTCGTAAAATCTCGAATCGATCATAGTAATTGCATACAATAGCAAACTCAGCCTGTACTATTCAATTTATATCATATGTATGTATATAGATGATATTGCGGCCAACTATTGTAGAACTGTACAATGTGGTATGATGGTGATATTTTTTAAGCTCATTGTTCAACCTAGATATGAGATGGACATTTTATTGAATCAGTTTTAAAATATCATTGGCCAAAAACGAAGACAATACCTTTGCTAGTCTAATAGTAATTAAATAAATAATTAAATAAACATTGCTACAAAATGATTGGTGGTCTACTATTAGCGAAAATCGTAGATTAATTGATTGCATAATCTTTTTTTTTGTATTAGTGCTTAGCGCCTACTTCTCTATGATAGTTTATCTTCGACTGTTTGCGATAATAAACCTCACTGTGTCGATGCCCCTATTGGGGCACAGAATTTTGTTTGGGTCTGTTTTTGGAGTCTTTCTGAATTTCTATAACATTTTTATCCCTTTCATATCTTGCCGCGTTCTCTTCTTTGAATTTTCGTTCTTTTTCTTCTTTCATATGCACGTATTATATATATCTCATTTCAACTTTTTATCTTTATTATGTCTTTACATAGACGTCAGCGCGTAAAAAGTCCGCTTGCTGCGTGCGCTTC